TAAATCTACATTGTCTTATTCCATTGGCAAAATGTCTCTTTTACCTCCTCAATTCAAGAACAAATGCACTTATTTTAAGAAAAATGACTTATCTAGATTTAGATTTTTTTTCCAGTGCATATATTCAGTTTTTTACCTAAACGCAGCAAAAGGATCTGATGATGAGAGTGCAGTTAATGATCTTATCAGGATGAGCAGTATCTTTAATGAGTAATTCATTATTTTACTCAAAACTCAAGTGCAGTCGCAACCAGATATTTTTATCCACAATTACTTTCATTTTATCTCTAAGGTCATGATTGAATTCATTATACACTGGAAAAAAATCTAAATCTAGATAAGTAATTTTTCTTAAAATAAGTGCATTTGTTCTTGGATTAAGGAGATAAAAGAGACATTTTGCAAATGGAACAAGACAATTTACACTTAAAATAAGAAAACACAATTGCATTATTTCAAGTAAATATTATCTAATTATCTTATTTTAAGAGTAAAAATATTCATTCCATTGGCAAACTATCTCATTTACCTACTCAAATTAAAGGAAAATACACTTAATTTAAGACATTTTCACTTATTTCTAGATTGTTTTTGCAGTGTATTTAAAGGATGTGTAGTCTGAATGTTTATTCATCAAATTGTTTTAGATTCTAATAAAAAACAAACAAAAAAAAAAAACATTCAGTTCAATTCCTGGGAGTTGAACGTGATCTATAACAGATTGTATTCAGCCTGAACATCCTATTGATGTTTCTGCTCATTATTTTATGCATATAGGTTCAAATTACCGCAACTAAGGACGTACGCTGAAGCTCTACAGAAACCTGTAGATATTTAGAAACCATTTAACCCTGTTTTACACATTTTAACCTGGACAACCTAAAGAAAATCTTAAAACAATTTTTAATCTGAAACCTACAACTCATCACAGCATATTGAGTTTCAGTTCTAAACTTATAACTGTATTTTTAGTTTACTTTTGTCCTCTCCCCATTGAAAGTGATTAAAGTTCTTTAATATCTAAGAATAACCAGCTTGGCGCTTAATTCCCCCCTTAAAATTCCCTCGTCTGACTTTCTGGTGTTGAATGTTAATGTATGAAAGAATGGAATAACCATGTGGACCGTTGTGTGTCCTACATGTCTGAAACCATGTGTGTGTGTCTCAGTAAGTGAATGTAGGTGTGTGTGTGTGTGTGAATCTATGTGAGTGGATCTACGTATATGTGTATTTTAATTTTTAATAAAAGTATTCCTTGGATATGACATTATACTTAATCCTTTTAAATGCATTTTTTACTTTTAATTATTCATTTTAAAATAGCATAGATGATGAAATTATACAGGATATATGATAATTAAATAAATTAAATGATCCGATGAATTTATTAAATAATATTACATCTACTAATTTCGTGGGACATTCAAATGTATATATTTAATTAAATATATATTTTTAATATTACATTTTAATGAATTGATGGCATAACAGTTGTCCTGACCCCCCCCACACACACACACACACACACTTTGGGAGCCCCTGGTCTACATGGAAGGTGAACTTTTTAGAGAAACTTGAATTTCTGAGTCGACCTGTTTATATGATGGTTAAAATAAAAATTTCTTCTTGTTGCCATTTTATTTATGGATTGCAAAAGTTCTTATAAACAACACAGATGTGTAAATAAATATTTCACAAAAGTCTTATAACATCACGTCAAAGGACCCTAATGGCTTTGAAGTAGTTGCTTGGAAAATACATGGGAGGATGTATCCAATGGGAGACGCCATGTTGCTTCGCCATTTTTGATTAGTGTAGCTAAAAAGAGACAAACTAGTCAGCTTTACACGTTTTACCTGAATGTTTAAAGGTAAACTCCAGTCACATTCAGAATTCAAACTTCTGAAAGGACTTCAAATATAAAATTATTACATACTGTTCAATAAACGATAAGTGGCGGCGCTCCAAGGCAGCGGCCAAGAACAACTCCTCTCGACAAATTTTACCAAATATGCCGCTTAAAATGATACAAACTAGACATCAAACCCGCATCTATGATCGCCATCGCCTGCTGGAGCTGATGTTTTAAAAGCAAAATGTTTTTAAATACTGACATTTTTGACCGTTTAAAAAAGCTGCGGAGTGCTACGGACGGATGTTAACACGACAACGGCGGAAAATAGCGGACGTAGGAAAATTACGTTGAAGTAATTTTGGGAAGGGGCGAAAACACTGGTTAGCTGATTGGCCTATGTTGGTGACAGACGGGCCAAATAAACCAATCAGATCAACGAAGCATATGACGTAACAGCGCAACGACGAAGAGGAGCCAATTGATAGATCAAACTCTTGCCGAAACCAGTCGAGAAGAGCAAAAACATCTTTTCCTCTGAGAAAAGCCTCCAGAGCAGTGTTTTGCTCTTCTTTCAGTGAAGAAATACTCCGTAATTCCGATAAAACTTGCTCCATAGCCACGCTAACGCTAGTTTCATCGGCTGAAGCCGCCATGTTCTTTAGACTGAACTGTCGCGCTTCTCGTTGCGTCACACCTCAACCCGCCTCAAAGCCAACGCTGATTGGACATTCGTTTGGTGAACGGCTCCAGATTTTCTTCACTGGAGAGTCTCCAGACTGACTAGCGAGCGAAATCTTGAAAGCTCGCGAGATCAGGATGGTCTCAAGAGGCTACTATCCTCCTGGGTCTGAGGGCAAATCCCTTTAGGGGGAACAGACCCAGGAGGAAATCCACAGACCCCCTAGTGGGGGAAAGATTCAGGCAAAAAAAAAAAAAGTGCCAGAACTGTGTGCCACCACAGGGAAGAGAGCAGCAATGCAGTCCAGGACCAGCCCCAAACCTACACCACAGGATGAGATACATATGGGCAAGGTATCCTACTTGCCATACATTCACGTAGGTCACCCTACCCCCAAGGATGAGGCCAAGACATCAAAGCCATAGGATGGGAGATACATGGTGTAGAGCCCAAGGAGCTATGACCAATACCTAGGGCCCAGACCCATCCCCAGGCAAACAAGGGCGCCACCAGTGGGTGGTGGCTCCAGACTGATCTGCGAGTGAAACCTTGAAAGCTCGCAAGATCAGGATGGTCTCACGAGGCTAGAAGCACAGCCCTCTCCAGCTGAAAATGAGGAGAACACTCTTGATGCTTCCCTGCCAAATGCTGAAACATCCCCAGCCGGCTCCTCCCGGCCCCCTCTGGCTTCCACACCTTCTCCAGCATCGTCTGTCGCTGCTAAACCTGCCAGTGACACCGCTGCTGCTTCAACCACGTCAGCCTCTTCAACCCAGGGGGCTACCACCCTCACAGCATTATCATCATCGTCGTCTTCCTCCCCTGAGCCAGGAGCAGCGAGTGCTTCAGGAGCTTGAGGCAGTAGCAGCAGCTCAACAACTGATTTGGCTACCGGTTTGTGACGTCACGGTGCGGTATCGGCTGTTGATCAAGTCCCAGTGCTGTATCTGGTTTTTGTCACAACGCACTGTGGGTCTTTTGCAGTCACATGACCTCGACACAAGGAGGCGCAATGTTGGGGGGTACCTGCCTAATCGCAATTAAGTTCATTTGAGTTCAAGTATTGACAGTAAAGCTGCGATGACAGTACGATAACTTCAGCAACATGGACATCCACAATAAAAACGAGAAGAAGCCTTACAGAGATAAACTCGACTGTAAGTTGCGTGGGTCTGCAGCTTACACCTACACAAGAAGAGACATGGTTCTGTTCTTCATGTACCAATAAAATGTAATTTACTATCTTATTTTGCTTAATAAAGATGGCTTTACTTAGCTAAACCCTGTTTTTATCCTATTTTTGTACATTATATATATATATATATATATAAACTCTAGAGTACATATAACTCTAAAGTTATATTAAAAGAATCTGTCAAACTCACCCATCAAAGTTAGGGGGCGGTTATCTAGCACCTGATTGGTCACCCTGCACATTAAGGCAAAGCAAATCGATTACAGAGACTCGATTTGCGTTAACCCCGCCCCCTGACTTCGATGGGTGAGTTTGACAGGTTCTTTTAATGGTTTCGATGCACTGCGACACGGGACCATGAAATAATTAAATGCACACTGAAATAATTATACATATTTTTTTTTATAAAATGAAGACGTATTTTATTAAATTAATGACACATTTATATATTTAATTCCTTATTTATTTAATTAATTACACATTTAATTATTTATTTAATGCTGTATTTATTTATTAAATTTTGGCACTTTTTATCCTCCATACCATGCACCTGGGCATTGACATTTAAACTATAGATCTGGTGAATTTCAATGATGAAGTCCTCCCAGTAGGTGGCAGTAGTGTTCTTTGACAAACATGGAAGCCTCCAGTAAAGCACATTCAAAGGAAAATTACTCTTAATTAAAACACTGATCATTTATTGAACAGTATGTAATAATTTTATATTAAAGTACTTGAAGAAGTTTGAATTCTGAATATGACCGGACTTTTCCTTTAATATCAGCGAGGAAAAAATTGTTGGCGATACACCTTGCATACACTAGGTACAGTTTTAGCTGTATCTAAATCATTTTATCAGTTTTTCTATCTGTTTAATTCTATTTTTGTGAATGCTACAGAATAATGTAATATTTAATAAAACAGATTTTGATCAAATAAAAATGTAAAAAATTCGAACTCTTCTCTTTATGATTTCCGTGGTTAGATGTATTATTTCTCTTTAAGCAAATTTCAAGATAATTGCAAACACACAATAAAATCTGAGCAACCAAAATAAGATTTATTTTAATGTGTACATTATTCAGCAATGTAGAAAACATGTTATAACTGCAGTTTAGATCAGAGAAACAGGCCATGCACTGCAAAAACGATCTAGCAATAAGTCAACATTTCTTAAATTAAGTGTATTTACCCTTAATTTGAGTAGGTAAATAAGATGATTTGCAAATGGAATGAGTATTTTTTCTCTTCAAAGTAGATAATTGGATAATATGCAATTGAAATAAGACTTGTTCCAAAGGCAAAGTGTCTCACTTACCTTCTCAATTCAAGAACAAATGCACTTATTTTAAGAAAAAAAAAGACTTATTTAGATTGTTTCCAGTGTGTTCTGAATGATTTACAGTATCCACATCACACTCAAATAAAAAAGGCCAATGTTGGCTGGAACGTTTGGATCAGTTTACTCTAAAACCTTCGGCTAGAGAGAGGAATGCTACGTGTCAACGTCTGCGTTCCCGTTGTGTGCATAACTGAGTCCCTCCCCGTGTCTCTGTGCATCATTCTTATTTGCAGCTTTCTCATTGTTCATGGAGACAGAACCCTTCACACAGTCTGCTTTAATTGGATCAGCTGTTTCTTCGGTCGGGGTGTTTTGCTCGTCTTGATCGTCCGTATCTGTATCTCTGGCGTCCGTGAACTCACTGTTAGGATTTGCAGGGATTTGACTGGGCATGCTGTGCTCAGAGTCCAACTCTGAATCCTTCCCTTCGGTGGGATTCTGGTACGTGCCGGTGGAGCTGCTGGAGTCTGAAATGTTCTCCTTAGCTGTATCTAAGGACCCTGTGATGACGCTGTCACTATAGGACTGACTCACGATGGTGTCTGTGTCTGCAAAGCACTGACTCTGATCCTCCGTGTCTTCCCTGTCTTCAAGATCAGCCGAAGAGCGTCCTTCAAGCAAACTCGTATCGACATTTAATATTTTAGGACTTGTGTCGGCAGAGTTTTCCACAACGGCCAAAACCCTCTGCAGACTCTGAGCTTTGTCTCTATAAAGTTGGCATAACTGAGCATCAGGCATGTGGCTGCCGTGTATCTCCGCCAGCTTCATGTACACCACATAAAGCGCTTCGGGATGAGCTCGGTCCTCAAGAGCAGCTGCCAGAGCCAAATGGAAGTACCCCAATGCATCGAAAGCATCCTGCAAAGGTAAACGATGAAGCTCGGTTATTATCGTTTAAGCTGAAGCAAACTTCAAACAGTCATTGAGCTAACTGGGACAATTTGGACTATGTCGGTAATAAAAATACAGAGATCAGGCTGGTTTTAGACTTTATACACTGGAAAAAAATCAAAATCTAGACAAGTCATTTTTTCTTAAAATAAGTACATTTGTTCTTGAATTGAGGAGATAAAATAGACATTTTGCCAATGGAACAAGACAATTTAGATTTAAAATAAGAAAAGAAAATTGCATTGTCTTATTTCAAGTGCATATTATCTAACTATCTTACTTTAGGAGTAAAAACACTAATTCCATTGGCAAATTATCTAATTTACCTACTCAAATCCAGGTTAAATACACTTAACTTAGGAAATTTTTACTTATTTCTAGATCGTTTTTCCAGTGTAAAAGGTCAAATCTGAGGAACAATTACCTCATTCCAAAATAGAACAAGCCACTGGACTTTGTTTCCAAGTTTTAAGATGTTTCGCTTCCCATCCAGAACAGTTTTTTTTTATTCAAAATGTCTGAAATAGCGTTCAGCGAAGTTCAAGACTTCATAAACACGACCAAAACAAAGTCTTGTTTTGGCTTATGGATTACACTTGAAAAACAATCTAGAAATACGTAAAATTTCTTAAATTAAGTGTATTTACCCTTCATTTGAGTAGGTAAATGAGATAGTTTGCAAATGGAATCAGTATTTTTACTCTTAAAAAAGATAATTAGATAATATGCATTTGAAATAAGACAATGCAATTGTGTTTTCTTATTTTCAGTGTAAATTGTCTTGTTCCATTGGCAAAATGTCTGTTTTACTTCCTCAATCCAAGAACAAATGCACTTATTTTAAGAAAAAAATACTTATCTAGATTTCGATTTCTTCCAGCGCTCTATCGTATATTAGCCTCGTGAGACCATCCTGATATCGCGAGCTTTCAAGGTTTCACTCGCTAATCAGTCTGGAGACTCTCGGTTAAAGAAAATTTGGAGCCGTTCACCAAACGAACGTCCAATCAGCGTTGGCTTTGAGGCGGGTTGAGGTGTGACGCAACGAGAAGCACGACAGTTAAGTCTAAAGAACATGGCGGCTTCAGCCGATGTAACTAGCGTTAGCGTGGCTATGGAGCAAGTTTTATCGGAATTACAGAGTATTTCTTCACTGAAAGAAGAGCAAAACACTGCTCTGGAGGCTTTTCTCAGAGGAAAAGATGTTATTGCTCTTCTCCCGACTAGTTTCGGCAAGAGTAGCCTGGCTTGTGGTTGTGTTTTCGTCGTCGCTCTGTTAGTACGTCATATGCTTCGTTGATCTGATTGGTTTATTTGGACCGTCTATCACCAACATAGGCCAATCAGCTAACCAGTATTTTCGCCCCTTCCCAAAATTACTTCAACGGAAGGTTTCCAGATGGATATGCGGAGCAAATCCATCTGGCGGAGTCAGGTTAACTGTATGTCAGTCTATCATATAAAACAACACATAGAAGATGGCAACAGGTGACAGAAAGCTAGAGAAAAAAACTGTAATTATCCAATCCAAAGGATTCTTAGCATAAATTACCAAATATTTCCTTTAGGACACTGGTGCTAATCCTTTATCAGCATCACAGGTCAACAGGAACATGAAGCTGGGTTTAAACTGAAAGTCTAATCTGAAGTTTGAGCCAATAAAGATCCCAAACTGCTCCGATTTAACCGGGAATAATTTCCAGATCTGTTTGGCTCCCTTACATCCCCTGCAGTACCTTGAGTTCGTGTAGCGTCAGGTTCCCCAGCCTGCAGTAGACTTTAGTGTAATACTGCGCTTCTGCAGGATTCTGCAGAGTAGGTGGACACAGGGACAGGGACTTCAGGTAGTAGTTTTCTGCCATCTCATACTGCTGCAGGTTGTAATAAATAGTGGCCAAGCGATGATATGCAGTCCTCTCATTTTCACGAACTCCTGCAGGTGGAAATAAGGCTTTGGTCTTTATCTGTTTGTGTATTTCGGGTAATACGGAGAGAAAGCAATGCTTACCTGTCTGGTTAGCTATTTCAACAGCCAGTGTGGCATACTGCAAAGCTTCCTCCTGCTCTCCTTGCTTCGTTAGGAGCTCGATTAATTTCCCCAACAAACGGAACTCTGAATGGACGTCTTTGATGCTCCGAGCAAACGGCAGACTCCCATCCTGAGAACCAAAGAGTGGGACTGAAAACGGTGAAGAGAACCAGACAATAAAACACCACGTTTCAGGAAGCGGGATGAGTACCAACCGAGGTTATTAACGTTAACTAAAATAGGGTGACCAAACGTCCGTATTTCCCGGGACATATCCGTATTTCACGTCCTGTCCCGGGCGTCCAGGGTTTTTTTTTAGAAAGTGAGGAAATGTCCTGATTTCACTGCGCACGACGCTCCGTGTGACGTAATCCCTGAGCCGCGTCAGTGCGGGCAGCCCTGTTCTTAATCAGAGGCTCTGTTCGAAAACCTAGGACGCATCCTCCAAGGACGCGGTCTACCTAGACTGGATCCTTCGAAGTCCTTGAAAATAAGGAGGCCGGAAGAGTTTTGGCAGTAAATTCGAACAGGTCCTCCCTTCAGCGTTTTTTACCGCCGTATGCTCTGTTGCTTAGCAACCGTGAAAGTTGACACACAAAGCAGGAAAAGAATGAATACCGAGGTTTTCAAAACTGTTTATTTATTTATTTTAAAAAAAGTTAAAGTGAACAAAGACTACACTCACAAGAATCCAGAATGGAATAAAGATTCCAACCACCGGGAGCAGGAACAAATCAAATCAAATGTAATGATAGAAACCAGAAAACAGAATTTTATTGTTTATATTTTAACTCTTCCCTATTATGTTATTCTTATACATTTTTCTAAGGTCCTCATCTGTGTGACCATTTTCAATAATCTTTCTGCTGCTGTAAATTTGCCCATTGTGGGACAATAAAGGGATTTTCTATTCTATTCTATAAAAGGGTTAGAAATATATAAGTAAATCTAAACAATGTATCTACAAAATGTATCTGCAAAATCTCTAATATTCATGAACAAAAAATACTTAGTTAAGCATATTGTGCAAAACAACAATAAAAAAATTAAACTCCTATCAAATTTATAGTCCCCACTCTGCAGCTTTATTAGAATCTGTCCTTAAATTCAGGCCAAACTCATTTACACAGTAACAGATAAAAACCTTTAGATAAATCAAACACTACCGCCACATATCTGACTCTATAACCATTAAAACAACTTGTAACAAGTAACATTTCCTCTCATCACGGAGCAAATCCCGATGATGAGACATTTGTTCTTTCAATCAACCCCCCCCCCACCCCCCGCTCCAAGGTGTCCTGGTTTTCCCAAATGAAAATATGGTCACCCTAAACTAAAACTACCGAAAATCATGAAAACTAGAATTAAAAAAACAGTTTAATGTACTAAATTGAAAATAAAACTAATTAAACCTCATTTAAAATTAAGAGAGAATGTGCTTAATTTTAGTTTGTGTCCCTTTCACTTAACAGGCCAATCTCCAACATCTACACTAGAAAAACAATCTAGAAAGAAGTGAAAATGTCTTAAATGAAGTATATTTACTGTACCCTTGATTTGAGTAGATAGTTTGCCAATGGAATCAGTATTTTACTCTTAAAATAAGATAATTAGATAATAATTACTTGAAATAAGACAATGTAATTGTGTTTTCCTATTTTAAATTTAAATTGTCTTGTTCCATTGGCAATATGTATCTTTTGTCTCCTCAATTCAAGAAAAAATGCACTTATTTTAAGAAAAAATTACTTATCAAGATTTATTGCAGTGTATATACACTGCAAAAATGATCGCAAAAGGAGTAAAAATGTCTTAAATTAAGGGTATTTACCCTTAATTTGAGCAGGTAAATAAGATGATTTGCCAATGGAAGTAGTATTTTTACTCTTAAAATAAGGTATCTACATAAAATGCACTTTGAAATAAGACAATGCAATTGTTTTTTCTTATTTTAAGTGTAAATTGTCTTGTTCCATTGGGAAAGTGTCTCACTTAAATCCTTAATTTAAGAAAAAATGCATTTAATTTAAGAAGAAATTACTTTTTAGATTTCATTTTTTGCAGTGTAAGCAAAGGTGTTGATGGCACCTTCTCACATTGGAGAAATGTACCTCTGCATTTAACCATTCCCCCTTGGGGAGGCTGCAATTTTTGTGCACCTGGGGAGCAATCGGGGGTTAAGAGTCTTGCTCAGAGAACAAGACCCAAGAGTGGCAGTCTGTGGGAGCGGATTTTGAACTCACAACCTCAGGATTACAAGCTCTATGCCCTAATCACTAGGCAGCCACTCCCATTTTTATCACCTCCACTCGTCATCATTAATTATTTAAGTTCCTTGTTGAGAAATGCATATTTTAAGGTTTCCTAATTCCTCCAGTCACCGCTGTGGATTTTGTTTTCTGCCTTCCATGATTGAAGGCTTCTCCTTATTCTCTAGGTGGACTAAACTATAAATATAATAAAATAAAAACGATCCTGAATATCACAGAATGGTGACTCCGAATAACTGTTTTCTACTTAGAACAGATTGATCCCACTTTCTGAAACGGTTGTTGTAGGAAATCAATGTTCATAAAATAGTTGCCTAGAGGCAAACAAACTTTGTTACCCTGTAGAAATGCTCTGAAGCCATTCGGTTCCTGTGGCCTTTAAAGTAAACATCTCCTGCCTCCTCATAGATGTTCATCGCAAAGCGAGGGTCGTTCATCCTCAGGGCTGTCTTCACCGCTGCCTGTCAAGAAACTTTTATTACTCCTCCATAGTGAATATTGGGAATCTGTTTGTCCTAATTATAATTCTACATTTAAAGGAAAAGTCCGCTCACATTCAGAATATAAACTTATGAAGGTACTTTAAATATGAAATTATTCCATCCTGTTCAATAAATGATAAGTATTTTTAATTAAGAGTAATTTTCATTTGAATGTGCTTCACTGGAGGCATCCATGTTTGTCAAAGAACACTACTGCCACCTACTGGTTTGTGACGTCACGGTGCGGTATCGGCTGTTGATCAAGTCCCAGTGCTGTATCTGGTGTTTGTCACAACGCACTATTATCCAAGTCATCTTGAAAACATTCTTCTTCCAAATGTTGGCTACATATTACGGGTTTTTTCTCTGGCCAGAAGTTCGATGGCAAATCCTCCCTCTTCAAGTTGGCGATCCAACGACCAACCCGTCCATGGAGGATCAGGAATCAGAAAGGTGAAATAACTCTTTTTTTATCACTTTTCCCCGATGTATTCCAGCATCCAGCTGCCATGCACGTGGGTATTGTCAGTTTCACTATAGCTCTGGTGAATTTCAATGGTGAAGTCCTCTGGAAATCTTCAATAATTGTTGTTGATTGCAGATGTGTCTAGTAGTTCCCATTGATTTAGCTTGTAAAGCGGGGAGAATGGCGCTAGGCTTACCGCACCGTGACATCACTGCCAGTGTTCTGTCAGATGAGCATACCCATAGTCAATACCCGTTTATGTCATGGTCTTCGTTCTGTTGTTCTTTACTTTGCTCCTTGTTTTCTAGTTTTATTAGTTTAATCCCAGTTTTGTTGTAATTTCTAGATTTATGTTAGTTCTCATGTTTTTATTGTCAGGGTTTAGTTGTGGTTGAGGACCCAAATGCAGAGGCAGAGAGGCTGAGGAGATTTCTTGCAGCTTTAATGAAATAAACACAGGTTACACAGGCGGGAATCCAAAAATCCAAAATCCAATATGAAAAATATAAAGCAAACCAGAACTACGGAGACATCTGGGGAAACAAAACACGAGGAGCCGGGGAGAGATGAGGTAGGTGGACAACAGCATGGGAGGACAGCAAAGACAAGGAACCAAACCAAGAGTGAGAACAGAGGGAGAGCATATATAGCAGACAGAGACAAAGGGAGGGCTAACGAGCTGACAAGGAGCAGGTGTGAGAGGAGACGACGAGGGAGCCAAGGGGAAAGGAACACACACAAGAGGGCAACAGAAAAACGTGAGAACTAACATAAATCTAGAAATTACAACAAAACTGGAATTAAACCAATAAAACTAGAAAACAAGGAGCAAAGTAAAGAACAACAGAAACAAGACCATGACAGTTTATCCCTATAATCTTTTACAAAACATATACTTTAAACTATCTCAACGTGCGTGTGTCCCCTCTGTCATACACAAAAAAACAATTTCATTACTTACTTTTTGGTGTATTTTGAAACGTATGGCGAACTGACCTTAAGTGGGATAAGGGATACACGCCCGCTGAGGTAGTTTAAAGTCTATTTTTCACATAAAACTAAAGTGATAAATGCAAATCTGATGTTTTGCGCATGAGTATTGACTATAGGTATGCTGGTCTTACAGAACAGAAGATGGCAGGAGGGAGGTGTTACTATATTTGGGCAAAAATGGCCGCTCCCAGACTCAGTGATCGCAACGAAAATTATTGTTTTTTATTTTTTTTACTGATAATTAATTAAATCACTGTGAACGTATTACTTTCCGGTATAAATAATGACCCATTGGTTATTCCTTGATGACCGAACTTTTCCTTTAATGCAAAGGCTAAAAGTAATGGATTTGGTGAAATACTGAGAAGTTAGACACATGCATCTGTTTCACTGAGGAGAAGGATTTTTCAGGAATGTTGGGCGTAGACAGGAAGCCATGTTAATAACAGAAAAGGAAGGATCAGGGAAAACAAATCCAATCCTCTGTTTAATATTAAATTTCGGCCTTACCTGCAGGTACATGTCCGCCAGCTCGTCCTCTTGGATGAGGTAATAGATGCGTCCCACCTGCAACCACGTCTCAGACTCTTCCTCTCTCTTTCCCAAGTCAATAGAGATCCTCAGGCTCTGCTTGGTGTAGTCAAGAGACTTACGAGATGATCTGCAGCATTCAGGATAAAGCATCAAACAAAACTGGAAAAAAAACAGAAGCCACCTGGAAGGCAAGGAAACTAAAATAATTACTTCTCCGTGTTGAGTGAGAGGTAGAGACTGCTGAGTTTTTCCAGATACTCTCCCTCCCGTCTTTTGTCCTTTAGCTCTCTGGAAACTGAGACGCAGTGTTCGTAGTAAACGATGCTCTGACCGTAGAGCAGCATGTCAGCATAGAGCAGACTCAGAAGCTTGGCTACAACCATCTGACCTTCAATTAAAACGAGAATGTGGAAAAATAAGGAAACTGATAAAGCTGGATAAAGAAGTTTTTAACAGTAAATATATTTCATCCTGTAAGAAGAAAAGAAAAGCCCAACAGATGTAGATAAAGAGCAAAGCTACCTAAACATAGAGTGTGGGGGAGAGTTGGCCTAGAGGTCTCTGAGAAGGTTGCAAGTACCAGTTTAGATCCCCACAGCCTCCACTCTGAGTTCCTGAGCAAAGACCCTTAACTAGGGCTGCGACTAACGATTATTTTAAAAATCGATGAATCGGCCGATTATTTTTTCGATTAATCGATGAATCGGACAAAAAATATTTTTTATATTAACCTCTTTATTCCAAAATAAACATTTTAGACAGAACAAACAAGCACACAAGTAGAGGTTGCTCATTAACTGTACTGGTGCAATATGAAAAATAAATGTTTGTGTTAAAACTACGCAAACTTACATGAGAAATGTAGCTGTACATCCACAAAATATAGGCTACTTTGTTTCATAAAGCGCAAAAAAAGACATTTTTGTTTTTTAAAGCCCCTAAGGGGTTCAAACAATAGGCCCCCCCATTTCAACAAATGAGGTTTTTTTAGACTAGAAGAGTTCTGCCTTTTAAGACAGGAAAGTATAGCAGTTAAAGTTGCTACTTGAGAAAATACTTAACCATAGAGATAAAAATAGCCCTGTGATTCAAATTATAAATTGTATTTGGAATAAAAATGAGATAACTAGGGGTGCTAAAAAACACATCCTCCAAAGACAGATATTTACATGGGAATGTGGCAGATAATTAATTGACATATTACTGATCTTGCTGGATTTTATTCTGCTTTACTTCCATAAATTGCAGGATCTTCTTTACTTTATCTTTGCCAGAAGATTTAAACTTTAAAAGCCTTGCCCTCATAATTTGCAAGTTAATTTATTTATAAAGGCTGTTTTAATTATTGTGATCAATTTGCGCCGTCAATCCCGGCGCATGCGCGCTTCATTTGCAGTCTGGACGCTGAGGGTAAACATCCTGCGGCTCTGACAGCAGCGCTGAGAGAAACTCCTGCGGGAGAACGGGGTTGGGATTGGGGAGGCGCCTCACGGCAGCAGCTGCAGTTGGAGGACAAGATTAGGAACGATACATGCTTTCACGTAAGAGTCTCCAAAAGCCGCCAGTGACACCGTAAAAAGTCGCCAGATTTGTCGCTAGTCGCTTTTTTGAAAAATAGTCGCTGGAGGGGTCTGAAAAGTCGCTAAATATAGCGACAAAGTCGCCGAGTTGGCAACACTGCGCACCTACGGCGCTGGCTCGCTCTGCCGTAATTTTTTTTCTCCCCCCGTTTCAGTCAAGTGGCAGTGATGACGGCAGCGGCGGATGACGCATTAATCGCGCGACACAACTAATCGATGATGAAATCCGTTGCCAACGCTTTTAAAAGTCGATTTTTATAGATTTTATCGATTCGTTGTTGCAGCCCTACCCTTAACCCCACGCTGCTTGCAGGGCGCCACACAATGGCAGCCCCCTGCTCCCCAACGGGATGAGTGAAATGCAGAGAGTGAATTTCCCCATTGTGGGACAATAAATGGATTTACATTTACAAATGACTATCTTTATATTATCTATAATTTAAAGCAGCGGAACGACATATTAAAGTCGTAGACTTTAAGGGGATACAAATTAAGGTGGGGGATAACTACACAACACTGGCAGAGCCCAAACCTCATGAGCATGCATGCAGAGAAGATGGCTCCATGTGATTTGTTTTTTCCATTCGGACTGATTGGCAGGGATTGGTCAGTTTTCAGAAGCTTGAAGCTCTCTCACAGACGTATCATTTTGTTTTTATTTATTTTGCTGAATGCATAAGGTATTGACTATTCTCAGGATGGTAGGCCAATTTTACTCAACATGTTAGGTTTATGCTTTATACATCATGTGCATTGTTACTTTGCTAGCCGGATTAGAGAGAGTAGAAGGCCTTCCTTCACATTGTGGATGTCACTGTGTGTACGGAGGTCATCTAATCAGGACAGCCTTCATGTCTTTAAAAATACACAGGATATGGGAACATCTTGTAGCCGGACTGATAAGAGGAGAGCTATCTGTAGCCCTTGGGCATTGATGGCGTGTCAGTTTCTGATACGGACAACTAAGCATCCACCTGGTGCAACACATAGACTCATGAGCTATAAGAAGGAGAAGATGACCTTGTTCGGGGCTCAATCTTTGCCGGACGCTCGCGGACGTGATTCTTGAGCCCACAGCTGTGCAAGCTCCAAGCATTTTCTCTGTCCTGTAACGACCTGATCTGGAATTAACTCTGTTACGTTTTACTTCTGTTTTTATAGTCATTTTTTCATGGTTTTACCCAGTTTGAGTTAAGAGTAGTAAATAACTTGCTCCCAGGAAAAGAAAGGGGAGGAGCCCACGAGTTGCAACGGCCTTTTTTAGGGGACATAACTTCCTCATTTAACAAACATAACAAAAAGTATTTCTGAACAGGATTAACTATATAATAAGATCATTATTTATCTTTACCTCCGCCAATGAGGTTATGTTTTTAGTCAAGTTTGTTTATGTTTGTCTGTCTCTCCATCATTTCACAGGATAACTTGAAAAGTTATGAACATAATCTAATAACATTTTTACCAAAGGTGCACCTCAGACCAAGGAACAATTGGAATGATCCACATCATAATCAGGATGCAGGAATCTTTTAAGTATTGTTTAACAATCTTTGGCAGAACAAGCAGTTCCTTCCTCAAGCAGAGGGAGGCAGCAGTGACATTCGACAGCTCCAGCTTCTCAAAGAAGTCCAGCATTATTATACTGAAGACAGAAACACAGCAAAGGTGCCATGCCTCGCTCGAAGTCTCAATATTCTGATCAAACAAGAAAGCAGAGTGAATGAAGAAAGGGAGCGCAGAACACACACCAGAGGCTGCAGTAAAACACTGGTTCTTATTTATACACTTATAAAGGGACTTTAGGGAAATTGTTACCAAAGGTGCACCTCATGCCAAGAAACAATGAATTCAAAATGTTAGAATTATCCAGATCATCTTTGAGTTTTAGTTATGGGTTTAAATCAAAATACGGGGCAAAATGTGTTGCTTTCCGGAGGCCTGCGTTCTCCGAGTGATTCTCTAGTTCTTAATGTTTTTAGGGCACACATATGATTGTGTGAAGCAAATGTTTTCACTCATCAAAAGTCATCCCATTCAACATTTAGGTCATGGAATGCTAGCCTGGGTGCCATTCCGAACTTAGTCCCACCCACAACGTTTGAGGTCGGGAAGTCCGTTCTGGCATTGCTCAATAGTAGCGTGAGTATGCTAGCACAATATCTGGCGGGCCAATCAAATTGTCAGGGCGGGCTTTATACGATGATGGACAGATGATCAGTAACGTAATCAACGAACAGTAACGTAATCAACCACGTCACCAAAGCGCGCTTGGGTGACAACAACAATGGCTGCCGCTGGAGCGTTGAGGTGTGTAGATTCTGCTATTAGGTCTGTTCTAGAAGATATCGACAGAAAATTAATTTTAAAAGAGGAACAGAGAAACGCGATCAAGGCATTTGTTGAAAAGAAAGCGACGCATGTTGAAAATGCGTCGCTTAACATACGTCACGCACTCCGTTGCTCTTATTGGTTGTAGATCTATCCAATTGAGTGCAGAGGCATTTTTTTCCTGGTTCGTTCGAAACACGCCCCATAATCACAGCTCTATGGAGCAGCATCACACTCATATTCTGACTACAATTGAGTAGGACTACGTCAGGCTAATGGAATGCATAAATACACTAAAAATAATGTTACATCTTCATACTTACTATGCAAATTTCTGGCATGCAGTGCAATTAGCAACCCCATCTCATAGCATGCCCTGATGTCCTGACTCTTTCCTCTGTCCTTGTAGCTCCGCCCGAGCCAAAGATAGGCCTGAACGTGTTCCTCATCTGTTGGACTCTCCCAAAGATCCAGAAAAAGACACAGGGACCTAGAATGAGGGAAAAGTACGTAGAGGAAACACTGATTTGCCGTATTAAATTGTCCAGGGTGCACCCTCCTGTTCAACCAGTAGACTCCAAACTTTACTTCACCATAACCCTGACATATTTCATGGAGAGATAAAACACTCACCTAACCAGGAATCGCTCTGCGAGGAGGGATGCTCCAGCATCCAGAGCGAGGCAGCCCAGGTTAGCCAGTGCCAGAGCCTGGTTCCTTTGGTTTCCGCTCTCTTTGGAGATCACCAGGGCAGAGTGGAGGTGCCAGCCTGCCTCTCGGACCCGATTCTGATGCCTCAGGCATAAAGCTAACAGATTATGGATGACTCCTCGCTGAGTGGGACTATCCGTGCTCTATTTTCAAATAAAGACAGTGATAAAAGATTCTAGACACTTTAGGCCATATATCTTTTTCATCGCTGATGTTATTCCTCACCTGTAGTGATGTGAGCAGCGGCTGTAAAATATTTTGAGCTCTTTCAGCCTGACCTGTCAACACCAGCAGCCAACCAAGTAGCACTGATGCCTCAAAGCCATCTTCTTCATTGATATGACTTCCTGTCTCCACAGCTTGTTGAGCGCAGCGTACAGCTTTATCCAGTGCGCCATATTGCTGGTAGGTCAATGCCAAACCCAAACAAAGGTCCCTCTGCATCTTTATATCATTACTCTTCTCAGCTACAGCTAAGGCCTGTTGGAGGTAAACCACTATTTGCGCAGGAAGAAGGGAGGTTCCTTCTTTCCAGCTCGGATTCAGACGGACAGAGTTCCTGATGAACAACTCGATCCTCTGGAAGGCATGCTGAAGTGAATGGTCTTCTCTTGAGTCCAGGCTTAGGGAAGCCAGAGCCAAGTGAGGCATGTATTTACGGTGATAGAGCCAGCTCAAGAGCCAGTTAAGGTCCAAAGGTGCAATCGGTCCCCCTTCAGCGGCCGATAATGTTACATTAAGAAACTGAAGTCTTTCTAAGAAAGGTAGTGCATCCTCAGTCTTCTTAAGAAGTGAAAAGAGGCTAGAAATGAGGTAGCAGACGCGAGCCTCCAAAAGTTTGTCCCCCAATACGACGGATCTCCTCAGCAGAAGCTTCAGGAGTTCAACTTCATCTGTGGACGTGAAGGCATGTCGGGGAAGACAGAGTATCAGGGCACCAGCCTTCTCCAGGGTTTTGGGCAGTTTGTCATTCATACGCTGCTTCAGGTAGATGGCAGTGAGGTTTGTGAAGAGAGCCACGAGCAGTGGGACATCAGAGAAACTGTCGACAGAGACACCCAGAGCTTCTTCATAGTATACACGGGCCTGAGGAGAAGCAGATATGATTTGCTGTGATAAATTTGTCCAACACTTACTATTAGTACTTCATGAACTCTACATTTCCTCCAAATGAAACAGGAAGGCTGTGAGTTTGAATGCAGCCCAACCACCATAATTGAAGTTATCAAAGGTAACAGTTGTCCTGTCCACCTGAGCTGTGGTACTCTACAGCTCAACATACAGTATTAGCCATTCAAAATTTCCCCACTTTCCTTGATAGGCCCTTGGCTGGACAATTCCTTTTTAAACATCAATCTTTGTACTAAAATATTCTTTCTGTCATGATTTGTGGACATTAAGATCTAAAGAGCAGTGTCATATCCTGGTCAGACCCTTAATTCAGTGACAGGATGGAGTCAGAGTAAAAAAAATATGCAGGAGGGGGTCACTCCAGTGGCTGGAAGTTGGCGGGCAATCTGCTGGGAGTTTCAGGGAAGTGGGCTTCCATTCAGCTGGCGTTTGACTGGGAAGAGTCATTTTGAATAACCTGACTCTGCCAGATGGATTTGCTCCGCATATCCATCTGGAAACCTTCCGTTGAAGTAATTTTGGGAAGGGGCGAAAATACTGGTTAGCTGATTGGCCTATGTTGGTGATAGACGGGCCAAATAAACCAATCAGATCAACGAAGCATATGACGTACTAACAGAGCGACGACGAAAACACAACCACAAGCCAGGCTACTCTTGCCGAAACCAGTCGGGAGAAGAGCAAAAACATCTTTTCCTCTGAGAAAAGCCTCCAGAGCAGTGTTTTGCTCTTCTTTCAGTGAAGAAATACTCTGTAAATCCGATAAAACTTGCTTGATAGCCACGCTAACGCTAGTTTCATCGGCTGAAGCCGCCATGTTCTTTACACTGAACTGTCGCGCTTCTCGTTGTGTCACACCTCAACCCGCCTCAAAGCCAACGCTGATTGGACGTTCGTTTGGTGAACGGCTCCAAATTTTCTTTAACGGAGAGTCTCCAGACTGATCTGCGAGTGAAACCTTGAAAGCTCGTCAGATCAGGATGGTCTCAAGAGGCTACATTTTGAATGGCTGCTACTGTATTCTGACGTTTGTTTTGACTGTGATGGGCGACACAGATGAGGTGGTTATTCGGGTGGAAGAGCGTCGGGCTCAGTCATGGTGCGTTAGGTTTTATAGTGATTCAAAGTGAAAGTCGAATTGAACCTTAAATCCATCAGAAGAAGTTTTCTGAAAGCAAAGGAAGGAAAATGGGCCTAGAGCAGAGGTATGTAGTCTATATAAATTTAGCAAAAATGCTACCCTAACGAGCTAACAGCTACAGCAATGTTGTTAGAAGAGGCTGTGATGTAGGTCTTGATCCTACAGCACACAGCTTCTCAATAGATGCTTAAATAATAAAGTATCGCACAACTTTTGCCATTTAAACTTATGTTTATGATACCTCCTATCATAAACTCATCTCGGTGAGTTTATTACTTTAATTTTTCTGTAGTTGAGTTAGCGTTAGCTTGCATGACCGGCTCTGTCATGCTGACAATGAATTTCAATTCAATGAATTTCTTTTTAGGTCAAAAATGTGTTCTGAATATATTTTAACACTGAAACCGTAAGTACAAACATACAACATTTAAATTTCAGTAGCATTTTTAATTCCAATCCCAGCGACACAGATTTACTTCCAAAAATCACGCGATCTAGCGGAAATCACGCAGCTTTTTTAAATCACGCGAGAATGTGTACAAAACAACAAAGATGGCGCCGGCAACGCTTGTGAGTCGTTTTTAGCGAATGTCGGTGATTTTAAAGTAATTTTGAGTGATAAATCTTTTTATTTTGCGATCATTGTATTTGCCCGGCAGGCAAATGCAATTAAATTTGTACTCTCCCGACAATAAAAACTACTTGCCCTGGGAGATCAGGCAATGGTTAACATTGAGCCCTGGGTGTGCTGGTCTGACAGAACACCGGCCCAGTGTTGGTTTCTTTGTAAAAAGTTCCAGACATATGAATGGTTTGCAAAGACACTAAACGAAAAGGCAAAGGGAAATGTTATCTCTTTTGATTGCCTGCCTTTTCAGTTACCTGGGAAAACTTAAGCTTTCTGGCACAAAGTCTGCCCAACACAAAGCACGCACGCCGATGCGCCCAGTGCATGCCCAGTCTCTTGGCACACTCCCTGACGCTCTCAAGGTGTCCGGACAGCTCATCTTCGTTCTTCCCACTGAAAGTCACCCACAGGAAGGAATAGTCTATGTCGTACAAGGGCAGGAAGTCATCCTGGAGGAGACAACAAACAAAGGAGGTCATTAGGAAATACTGCTTCATTCTCTTCAAAGGGAATGTGTTTGGTGTAAATTGATCTACGTCTCAGTATTTTCTCTAGATCAGCCACATCCTAGTTAATGTGTTTTATAACAACAGTCTGAGAAAGAAATTCAGGTCTGTTGTGACCTGACATATGGACGAGCTGTGATTTCTCACTTGGAAGTGTTCCTGGTTAAACAGAGTCAGTGTTGGGTCGCTGAGCTCTGACTCGTCCCCCTCCCAGCTGTTTTCTTCCACCAATAGAGGAGGATCCTCCTGAAACTCATCCAGCTCTTTAAACGTGTCCTCCAGGTTGAAGGAGATGCGTTCTCCCTCTCCAGGCAGAGGATTATGGGAATGATGGAAGGAGGTGCGAGGTAAGGAGTAAGAGACAGAGGCACGAGGGGAGGACTGATACAGCGTCGTACCCTCACTTCTTTCAGACATCAGGCTCTGACGGGCGCTGGAAAGACCCTTCAGATCTGTGAAAAAGGAAGATAAGGACTTATCAATTGCTGAAATAGGTCATTCTGCCATCTTCTTCAGCAAAGTATTACCGTGTTTGGGCCGATTCCGGATGTACATAAAGTCAGCCTCGTCTAATCTGTCTGGGAACACATGAGGGAAGTCAGTTTATGCTTTATTTACCAGGTGGATAACAATTTTTATCAGTAGAAATAAAAATCACTGAAACAACCACACAGCAGCGCATTAAGCAAAATAATACTAACATCTACAATAATCAGATTTAATAATCTTTGGGTTTTTAAAGGCCAGAACACACAGAATCCGATTTTGCGTCCGATCCGACAGAACAGATTTTACGCAAAGGAGCGTTGGTCCGATTCGACTGAGAGGTTCGACTGAGATAGAGCCCAGGTCTATTGCAGTTGGACTACGCAGCAATTCAGCAGCAATTTCATGGGTCTTAGAGGAAGAGAGACGCAGCTATAAAGTAAAACACAACCGCTTTAGGGGAAAATACAGAATAAATCTGTTAATCGCACGGGGAAAGAGTCAGTTTTGGAGTCAGGTCCAGTAGTAGCCATTCAAAATTTCCCCCACTTTCCTTGGCTGGTCCCCTGCAATTCCTTTTTTAACATCAATCTTTGTAGTAAACTATTATTTCTGTCATGATTTGTGGACATTAAGATCTAAAGAGAAGCATTACCTCCTGGTCAGACCCTGTGATTTAGTGAAAGGGTGGAGTAAAAAAATATGCACTCCAAGGAGAAGGCCGGTGGCTGGAAGTTGGAGGGGATTTTGCTGGAAGTTACAGGGATGCGTGCTGCCATTCGGCTGGCGTTAGACTGGGAAGGGCTATTTTGAATGGCTGCTACTGTAAGCAAAGCTTATATCTCTCAACTCTATGAAAAAAAGAAAGAAAACCTTAAATAAACTTCTGAGATCTCTCTCTGAGAATCACCTCTCTGCCTCGGTCAGCATAAAAACCGTCCAACTGCGTTTATTGCTGTGTTTTTCTTTTCTTTAGATGTAGATCTCATTACGTTTTTGATTTATGAACATTCTCTATCTGTTCTGGTTTGAGATGCTGAATAGTAGGGGTGTAAATAATAATCGTTTTGTATCGATGCATCGATCCAACAGTCGACGATCCGATGCATCGACACGTCCGCAAGAGAATCGATTCATTTTTTTTTTTCCTCCGTTCTATTTTTATCCATTTGCTCCTGGGCGTAATTCTCCCTCCCGTGCTGCGGTGGCGCTAAACCTATTTTGCCCTCCTACCTCGCTTCCTGGTTATACTCTTACAGCAGTGTGTCACAGTGAGCTTGATGCAGACATTTTAGATTTATGCTCAATATTGAAGCGTGGTCTGTGCTACACACTGTGGGTCTAGATACGGCCGAGGCGGCGAGGAAGTGGGGGCGAGTTTAGTCCGATGACGGAGGGACATGAGGGCCAAAAAGAGCAGAGATCCAGGTGGAAAAATGGTCCCAGCGTTCTGGCGCACCTCGCTCTTCTAGCGGGTCAAACTTCACGAGTTGTTTTCCGCAATTTCGGTCATAAAAACAAAACAAGCCGCCCTCCTGTCTGCGGCACTGTCTGCGGTCAGCTTCAATTTGGGAGAGGAGCAGCGGAGCGTCTGTGGAGGGGGCGGGACGTCTGGAGCCGAGGTATTGCATTGCACTCATTGCACTGATTTTGTCCAGTATTTTTTGATGCAAAGCCTTTCAGAATCTATAACGCAGGGGTATGATTATTTTTCAGTGAATGAGGTTTTAATAGGAAAAGGTGGAGTACAACTTTTCTACTTCTGTTATTTGCTGTTGTTTCTCAAAAAAATGCATAACGATATTACAGCTTTCATTGATTTATTTCAAATTTGAAACATTGTCTAGCCTGTGAGGTGTGTAAAAAAAAAAAAAAAATTAACCAATTAATCGAATCGAATCGTATCGTGGTGTCGTCTTGAGTATCGAAAATAATCGAATCGTTGGGTAAGGAAATCGATACTGAATCGAATCGCCATGATGGATGTGATTTACACCCCTACTGAATAGACTTGTTAAATGGAGCTTTGCTTTATAGAATGCCACGGTGCACTGCAAAAACAAGCTAGAAATAAGTACAAATTTCTTAAATTGAGTGTATTCACCCTTAATTTGAGTAGCTAAATGAGATAGTTTGCCAGTGAAATGAGTGATTTTACTCTTAAAATAAGATAATTAGATAACATGCACTTGAAATAAGACAATGCAATTGTGTTTTCTTATTTTAAGTGTAAATTGTCTTGTTCCTTTGGAAAAATGTCTCTTTTACCTCCTCAATCCAAGAACAAATGCACTTATTTTAAGAAATAATGACTTATCTAGATTTAGATTTTTTGCAGTGTGGATTTTATTCTTTTTAATAACATTTCATAATCTGTCCAAGCCAAATGTGGGAAATTGTTTTAATTTGTGTAGACCTATAAGACAGAGACCAAAGAGAAAAAAATAGTGCGTAGATCTGCCCACCCTGCCTAGTCGGAGCCTCTCTACGCAGTCAGTGTGACATGGAAAAAACTAACACTGGAGATTAAAAAATCGTACGCAACCGATGTGTTCAGGCCTTAAGTGATAAAAATGGTTAAAATCCCCCAACAGGCCGAGTGGTTCCATTACCTAATCTGTACACAGAACTGATGTCTGACGAGAAGAGTCTCTCCAACAGGCAGCTGTCACTTGGCTGTGAGCTGTATGCGTTCACCCGAGCCAGGCTGGCCTTCTCCTCCTCAGTGAGAAACACCAGTTGTCTGTTTCTATGAGAAGCAGACAAAGGAGGCATTATGGTTACATGCATCTCATCAGCATCGTCACCCACTGCAGCCTCAACACACACTGCCTTGAAAAGGGATGCTTGCCCTTTAAACCTTTCCCCAGTCTGTCACATAATATTTACATATTCCACTAAGTATTACATTGGCCTTCTGGGATGATGAAACCATCAGATAAAGATAAAGTTACATAATGAAACATGGTGAAGCAACGTCATGCTATGGGGAAGTTTTGTTTTTTTTAGCAGGGAGAAAAGAGAAGCAGAGTGGGGCGAAATAAGAGGAAGTAGTAAACGAAAACTCACAGAGATTCACTTTTAAACAGTAGAATGAGCCTAAACCTAAATCCTGATCCTGTAAAGCTAAATCTATGGCTGAACCCAGAGGTTATTTTAGCAACCATTTAATCTATCGCTTAGTTTTTAATTAATCGATTAATCCTTAAATTAGATACTTTCATTAGATTAACATAGAAAAATAAATATAGAAAAGAACCCTTAATTGTGCATTTCAAATAAATAGTCAAAAAGAAAACCGTACAAAAAACATGTATATATATTAGGGATGCACGATATAATCGGCCCCCTATCGGCATCGGCCTTAAAACTGAATATCGGACATCGGCCCCCCCACCGATATTTAACCCGATATTTGATCAGGTGAAAAAACTACTTCTTCTTCTTCGTCAAAAACCTCTTTTTTACAAACTTCTAAAGACGAGGGAAAAAACATTGATACATTAAAATATCCCAATATCTTCATATGCTGATACAGTGGGGCAAAAAAGTATTTAGTCAGCCACCAATAGTGCAAGTTCTCCCACTCAAAAAGATGAGAGAGGCCGGTAATTTTCATCATAGATATACCTCAACTATGAGAGACAAAATGAGAAAAAAAAATCGAGAAAATCACATTGTCTGATTTTTAAAGAATTTATTTGCAAAATATGGTGGAAAATAAGTATTTGGTCAGTTACAAACAAGCAAGATTTCTGGCTCTCACAGACCTGTAACTTCTTCTGTAAGAGGCTCCTCTGTCCTCCACTCGTTACCTTCATTAATGGCACCTGTTTGAAACCGTTATCAGTATAAAAGACACCTGTCCACAACCTCAAACAGTCACACTCTAAACTCCACCATGGCCAAAACTAGAGAGCTGTCAAAGGACACCCGAAACAAAATTATAGACCTGCACCAGGCTGTGAAGTCTGAATCTGCAATAGGTAAACAGCTTGGTGTGAAGAAATCAACTGTGGGATCAATTATTAGAAAATGGAAAACATACAAGACCACTGATAATCTTCCTCGATCTGGGGCTCGATCAGAACCACACGGGGGGGACCTAGTGAATGACCTGCAGAGAGCTGGGACCAAAGTAACAAAGGCTACCATCAGTAACACACTACGCCGCCAGGGACTCAAATCCTGCAGTGCCAGACGTGTCCCCCTGCTTAAGCCAGTACATGTCAAGGCCCGTCTCAAGTTTGCTAGAGAGCATTTGGATGATCCAGACGATGACTGGGAGAATATCATATGGTCAGATGAAACCAAAATAGAACTTTTTGGTAAAAACTCTACTCGTCGTGTTTGGAGGAGAGAGAATGCTGAGTTGCATCCAAAGAACACCATACCTACAGTGAAGCATGGGGGTGGAAACATCATGCTTTGGGGCTGTTTTTCTGCTAAGGGACCAGGACGACTGATCCGTGTGAAGGAAAGAATGAATGGGGCCATGTATCGTCAAATTTTGAGTGAAAACCTCCTTCCATCAGCAAGGGCATTGAAGATGAAACGTGGCTGGGTCTTTCAGCATGACAACGATCCCAAACACACCGCCCGGGTAACAAAGGAGTGGCTTCGGAAGAAGCATTTCAAGGTCCCGGAGTGGCCTAGCCAGTCTCCAGATCTCAACCCCATAGAAAATCTTTGGAGGGAGTTGAAAGTCTGTGTTGCCCAGCGACAGCCCCAGAACATCACTGCTCTAGAGGAGATCTGCATGGAGGAATGGGCCAAAATACCAGCAACAGTATGTGAAAACCTTGTGAAGACTTACAGAAAACGTTTGATCTCTGTCATTGCCAACAAAGGGTATATAACAAAGTATTGAGATGAACTTTTGTAACTGACCAAATACTTATTTTCCACCATATTTTGCAAATAAATTCTTTAAAAATCAGACAATGTGATTTTCTGAATTTTTTTTTCTCATTTTGTCTCTCATAGTTGAGGTATATCTATGATGAAAATTACCGGCCTCTCTCATCTTTTTGAATGGGAGAACTTGCACTATTGGTGGCTGACTAAATACTTTTTTGCCCCACTGTATATTGCCATTTAAAAACACCATATCAATCTCTTTTACTAATGAAATATTGCTATATGTCATCGTTATGCTACGAAATCCCCCGAAAATTCACAAAATGTTGCCATATTTTATATGTTGATATATTGACGCGGTATCGATCTATTTTACTAACAAAATCTCACAAGAATTTGCAAAATATCACGAGAGTTTGTAACAGAACGATGACATTCCACGAGATTTTGAAAGTAAAATAGATCGATACCGCGTTTTTAAAAATCTATTTGATATCAGCATATGAAAATATATTTGAGTATATTATTTTTCAAAGTGTCAGAAATGGATAACAAAACTGCTATTTTCAATGACTACTTATTTTTATCCAGCTTTAACATCAGTATCGATATCGGTTATCGGCTACATGAGTTTTAAAATATCGGCATATCGGATATCGGCCAAAATCCCAATATCTTATTTTTTTAGACTTTAGAAACTCAGAAGCTGATCAAATATCGGGTCAAATATCGGTGGGGTGGCCGATGTCCGATATTCAGTTTTAAGGCCGATACCGATAGGGGGCCGATTATATCGTGCATCCCTAATGTATATATTTCCCACTCCCTTTCAGGCTTGCTTTTTTTTGTTATTTAGAATATCACTCATAAGTTTAAATCGATTAACTGCCATTCACTTAAATGTTTCAAAGGATGAAATTGCCTGAAATGAATTTAAAAAATTAATAAAGTTAATATTTAATAGAAGAATTGTATACTATTCCATATTTGCTGTAGGTCGGTTTTTCTTTCAGAAAATGCCAGGTTTTAGATTCTTTATACAAACACTCTCAGTAGCGATTAGATTACCAGAGTAGTTGAATAGTTAATCGGGATTAATCCAACTAATTGTTTCAGCCTAAATTAAATCCATTTTAAAACTTCAAAGATAAAAATCTGACAAAGTTTCTTAATTTTTCGAATCACAGATGCTCTGCATTCTGAGATTAGGCTGCTTTGTAAAAAAAAAGCAAAAAACTGTCTCTGATGGTTAAAACTGGTAGTTTAACCTTAAAGACTCTTTTATTGCATCAAAATGAGGTTGCTTGAAAATGGTGTTAAAAATGGATTAAACATTTTGCCATTTTTGCAGAAAAAAAAATCCTTTTCTTTTCACTTCACAGTAGTAGAATAAAATATAATCAATAGAAATAGACCCTGTAATTCAGTCACTTTCGCGCCCATTCAGGCCATTTTGAATGGCTGCCAGTGTAACTGATAAAAATGATAATTTAAATGTAACTGGTATGTTTAGGAAGCCTCTTTTAAATTTTTTCAAAATAATTATATGTAATTTTGAGACTTTGATTGCTAAGACATGCAGTCACAGCACCAATTTTATCACAATAGTACCACAAAATATCGTGATGAGAATTGAAGGCCGTATCTCGCAGCCCTATTTTCACGTCACGTTGGAGCTTGTGAAGATAAAACCATAGATCTCACAGAGGTGTGGTGTTCAGAGGCTTGACGTGGGCTCTGTGGACGAATCCAGTGCGTCCTGTGGATGCGTGTCTTCCTATGAAGACGGTGAGTCCGCGGAGCAGCAGGCCCTGGATCTCCACAGCGTCGCCTTGGTTCAGCTGCAGCTCATCTGGCCCGGCTGGACTGTAGTCCACGATGGCTTCACACGAACCGGTCACTGAGGGGTCAGAATTATAAAGGATCAGATCACGGAGTGGGTTAGTGGAGATGATATAAACAGGTGAGAAACAGGGAGGTAAATTAATTCGATCATGCTAAATATATTAAATTACACGTTTTTATGCAGAATAACTTTACCAATTTCATTTTCAAACAGTTCCTTTTCTACTGGTGAGCATCCAGCATGGCCTGGATACTTCCTTAGGAACCACCTGACCAAACAGGAAGTAGAAAAGAATAAGGTCGAGCCAACTTCTGCATAAATTCCTTTTTTTTACTGAACTACACCAAAAGCTCATTAAATATCATGTGATCATACATAAAGTGTTTTGTCTATGAGTGGCTAACCTGAGGAACTTACTGGTAGAAGGGGTAGGGCAGCGGCTGCATGGCGTCGACGGGCACCTGGCCGTGTTTTCCAGTGGAGAGCATGGTGCCCTCCCAGCTGCTGTCCTGCCCCGTGTCCCTCACCATCAGCAGGTCGTTCTTTTTAAATGACAGCTGCTCTTCATTATCCTCTTCACTCCTGGTGAACAAAGCCTTCGCGAAAAAAGATCCTGCAAGGAGAGAGAAGACAGCGTCTGCAAAAATACTGCAGCATGTTTTACTTTTAGTGATCTTGATTTGGATAAAAAAAAAACCATTATGTTTATGGATTAGCTTTTCTTTTACAGCCACTGTGCCCCGTCCAGTCACAAATGATAGATGATGTATATACTTTACCCCCCTTATTAAGCTAATCTGATTTTCATCCTTGATCGCCAGCACTGCAGTATTGCTGCTTGGTCCATTTAGCTTATGGCCTGAAAATATATTTTTAACTGCATAGTATAATCACCATATACATGCTATTATCCCTTGATTTAACAAAATATGGATGTAGATCTGTATAAATGTTTATTAATGGTCCCTTTTTAATCAGAAACCCTGACTGAAATACACATTTCCAGCATTCTGTCTATGCTAACCACAACACCGTCACCAGTTTCTGTCCTAGGCTGCATTCTGCACTCAGTGGATGAAGTGGCTGAGGGGAGGGTGCTGCCCAAGCTTCCATCCATCATAGACCATACCTTCCACCCTCTGCACCAGACTGGAGAGGAGCTGAGCAGCACCTTTAGTGAAAGACTTTTACACTCTGTTTGTAAAAAGGAGTGCTACAGCAGGTCATTCATCCCCGCTGCAACCAGACTCTACAATGCAAAACTACAGCAGTAATACTTTGTGCAATATATGATGTGTAATTACTATTTAATACCCTGTGCAATAACCTGCTTTTTTTTATATATCTGATACCCATATAAATATAAATACCCATCTATATTAATACCCATGTAAATAACCTGTGCAATAACCCTGTATGATAATCTTGCTAAATTAAAGACTTCAGCTGTCATTTAAATATATGCTTTTTGTTTTGTGGGGCGTGTTTCGAACGAACCAGGAAAAAAAATGCCTCTGCCCTCAATTGGATAGACCTACAACCAATAAGAGCAACGGAGTGCGTGACGTATGTTAAGCGACGCATAGTTGTTGTCAACAAAAATCAAGGCGTGCAGTTGCACGCCTAGAATAAGAAGATGAGCCTTGATCGCGTTTCTCTGTTCCTCTTTTAAAATAAATTTTCTGTCGATATCTTCTAGAACAGACCTAATAGCTGAATCTACTCACCTCAACTCTCCAGCGGCAGCCATTATTATTGTCACTCAAGCGCGCATTGTTCACGTGGTTGATTACGTTACTGTTGATCATCTGTCCATCATCGTATAAAGCCCGCCCTGACAATTTGATTGGCCCGCCAGATATTGTGCGAGCATACTACTGTTGAGCAATGCCAAACCGAACTTCCCGACCTCAAACGTTGTGGGCGGGACTAAGTTCCCCTGCACATTTTCTTCCTTTTGGCCCATTCTTCTTCTTCTGTTTGCTTTTTGAGCCGATGTAACGAGTATATTTCTCCATTTTGAGATCAATAAAGTCAATCAATCAACTGGGGTCTCTAATGATCAGCTGGGGTCAAGTTAGTCATTATGTTATAAATGACAGATCAGTTGCTCCCAAACTTTAAAAAGCCTTCTGACGTAAAGATCTCCATCGTCTCCATTTGAACAGTTTAAAGCGACAGAGCAAGAAAGAGGGGATCTAATGTGGTTTAATTGCTCCTTCTGTTTATGCTGAAAAACGAATGTCTTTGCATCGTTTTGGATTATATCGGACTTTATCTTTCACATAAACTTTAATACATAAACTTTAAACATATTGTTACAGTGTTTTTTAAATGACAATAAAAATATTATTGTTAGCTGGTAAGCCTGATCACTAAGGCTGAGCGATTTTTCTTTGCACTAACCCCCAACATGTAGATGTTTCACCCCCAGATTTTACTGACTTTACTGTAACCAACGTATAAAAACGTTTTTATTTCTACTTTCATCCATGATCTGCTGCTAATCTCTCTACCTTTCTGAGTGACGACAAACACACCTCAAGCATTTAATCACCAATTAAAGGCCTGGAGGGAGAAATTTAGTGTTTTACTCTTTTTGAATATGGTGTGATTAAGAATAAGTGATATTTTTTGTTAAATTATGATAATTTTACAAATGTAATTAATTGCTCAACCCCACTGGTCACTGAGTTCATCAATAAGAAAATATTACTGTTTTTTTTTACACTTGGAACTGGAACACAGTAATGATGACCTGGATACAGCCTCTATGAAGTGAAATCTGCTCCATTTTGTCACAAACAAAGAACACATTTTACAAATGGAAAACAAAAAAATGCAATCCAGAAAAGAACGTTTGAAAATCATTTAATCAAACAAAGGTTTTAAAGGTTACTTTGCTACTTTCTTAAATTTTGTTTTTCAGTTTCTTTTTTCTTCAAATGTTCTTCAAATCTTTTTTTTTTACTTTTTTTGGTTTTCCAAATTTCATTTTTTTTATTTCTCTTCTACAAATTGAGTTTTATAAATTCAAAATGTGCTTCACAATCCTTTCAATCAAGTCTAATGCAAACACTCACTCTGGCCAATGAAAATCTTGCTTTAACATCCATCAGACCAATAGAAATGCATCTTCAGTCCTCCTTCAGAGGAAAGCCCGCCCCCACAAGTGAAGCGAATGTAATCAGTAAAACGCAATTTGAAAATACTGGAATTCGTTAAATGCAAACAGAAAAACAGAAAAAATAAATAAATAAACTTGAAAATCTTACAAAAAAGTATTTTAAACAAACTAGGAAAAAAAAAAACACAATCTGAGGTTGGGGGGCCTATTTACACACAATTCACAAAACATGTTCTTTGTTCATAACAATAAAGGAACAAAATCCCCTCCATTACTTTCCAGATCTAAATTCTGGCCTCTAATGAAACAAGAGAAAAAAAAAGTATTTACCAGCAAAAGTTTCCTAGTTTACTTTGAAAAAATAAATAAAATAATCTAAACACTAATAAAGGAAGATGAAGTATCACCTCTGACACTTCCATCCCTGCTTCAGAACCAGAGGCGGAGCTTCTGCAGCCATATTGAAATGAAGGTCATTTCTTGTGGTTTTTGGGTCTCAATATTTAAAAGCAAAAAAAACCCAAAACAAATTGAACTGTTCTATCATCACAGCTGTCTCTGGTTATTTCTGCTGTATCTGCTCGTTTAGCAAGATCAGCAGCACTCACCTTCTTGGAGCAGAAGTCCCAGATAGAGGGTTGCTAGATGCTCCTCGTCTACAATGACACTGATCTCCAGCTCGCTTAGCAGCTCAGGATTCAGCCAGAAAGACTGGTCACACAGGAAGTTCTCCAAGCATCGAGCGACATAACCTGCAGCATGAAAACAAATAAAAATAAAGATAAACTGACCTTCATTCAGTTCAGTGTAAATTCATAAATTCATTTAAATAAACTAAAATCAGTATCTCTATAAATAAAACCTGACTTAGAATGGAATGATTAAAAAAAATCCTTACAGGCCTGTAAATAAAAATCTAAGCTGAATATCTTTCTGAAGGAAGTGGAACCATTCATACCTAATGAGAGGTAGGTTGAAAACTTCCAGACTTCCTCCACCGTCTTAAATGTGAGGACAAAGCTGTCCTTCTCAGCATGGACAGAGACCAGACGAGCAGAAAGGTCCTGAAGAGAAAAGGTTTCAGCTTCCAATCATCTATCCGGGATTTCAAAGAAGTGATAAATGTCCCTCTGCCTTAGTATGGAGTGAATATTGGTACAAAAAAAATATTGTGTAAATAGAAATTAGAGAAAACTGCAATCCAGGAATAAAACGTTTAGAAACTTAATCAAAAAAAGTTTTGAGAGTAACTTTATTTCTATACTTTATATATGTTCAATACATTTTTTTTTCTATTTCTCTTTTTCAGATTGAATTTTTACAAATTGCATTATGTCCTGTACTTATGGAACCATTATTTATCCTGCACTTGCTGCTATTGCACTTCTGGTTAGACCTAAACTGCATTTCTTTGCCTTGTACCTGTACACGTGTAATGCCAATAACGTTGAATCTAATCTAATCTTTTATTTTTAAAATATATTCTCTGCATTTCTGAGAGCAGATATTCCTTCGAGTGAGGAGCGAATATGCATTTTAAATTCACGCATTTCTAAATATATATCCTACTAATTAAATTAAAATCTGTAAAAGAAAGTTGTAAAAGAAATAAAAACTACAACCTAAAAAAAACAAACAGTAAAGTTACACTCAAAACCTTTGTTTTAAAAAAACAACAAATATTTTTGCGAAGTTTCATTTCCGGATCACATTTTTTTTATAATTGCCATTTACAAAATTAGATTTTTGCTTCCAACAATAATGGAACCAATTTCACTCCATATCCAAGCAGACTGATTTTTAAAAAGATGCTTTTCAAAATAATAATAATAAGAGCGATAAAAATCATCTGGTCTTACTTTGAAGAGCTGCGTAATGTCTTTGCTGTTGCTCTCTACAACTCGGAGGCGTGTGCGCAGCGCCTCCTGCAGGGACTGGTCGGGATCTTCGCTGGAACGCCTCCGGCCCGTAAACAGCAGTACAATTTCTATGTAACAGACAAGCAAAGTTTGATCAGCAGCGTTCATCTGACACTTCCTCTTGCTGTAGTTTTTGTCACAACATATAAAAAAAAAATTTAAAAAAAACAGCCGATCAAATCAAATTGTCTATTAGCAAGAGTTCACTTTTCTAGATACATATAATATTTTAGGTGCTCTATGAGAGTCTTTTTGCTTTGTCTGCAGAACAGCCGTCCCAGGAGTAATAGGGAAGCCATTAGGCCTCTTACTGGACTCAATCTAAATCCATTTCTGTAGACGAACCTGGCGGGATGTGATGGATGAAGCTAAATTGCTGACTGAGTAAACATCAGCAGACATGATTCATCGGAATTTATTTCATTCCTGAGATGAAATCCATGAAAAACATCACATTGATGAATATTATCATCACCACTTTAGATGTTTTAGGAGCAAAGTAGTTTGTCAGGATGGAAAACCCAACAGGTGGGGGAGGGACTGAGGTGCAGATAAACGGTACCTGAAGAGAATTTCTCCCCGACTGAAATTTTACTTCCCCTGAGGAAGGCCTCTTTCTTCTTCCAGTAGTTGTCATGTTCCTCTTCCTCTCCTGCATCGCCAATTCGGCCATCCTCTTCCTCACCTGTTAATACAAAAGAGTCAAATCTAAAGCTTTATTTTTTATTTATTTTTTTGGATCAAGATGACAGAGATAGATTTAAGCAGCCAAGTTCCATAGAGATTACTAACCTTTTTATTAAGGGGAACTCAGCGAAAAATAGGAGCTTAGATCATAACAAATTAGCACAGATAATTTCATAAGAGTGTTATAAGAAATTAGAAAAAGAATAAAAAATCCTAACTTTAATTTACAAACGTTTGAGAAAATTTTGAAGGCAGCGAGTCTTTTGTAAATTGTTCCATCTGGGAGCAGAATACTGCAATACCACCTTAACAGCTTCTGACATTTGGTGCAGACTGCAGCAGTGATCTTTGTGAGCGTAAAGAATAAAGTTCAGCTACTTTTGATTGAATATATTTCACATTTTGGAAAAGTTTTTATTGTCCCAGAGTATTTTTTTTAGTAAGAAAAAAAATTAAATACTGAAGGAGGTATCTTGTGAAAAAGAAAAATTAGTATCTGTCAGCACGCCCTCCTCCCTCCTCCGGGGAACAAACGGATCAATTGTCCCAGGATAGGTGGGGGGGGGGCAAAATTGACACGCTGACCGTTAAAAATACAGGCAGAAGTAATTTTTTGTGATAGATAGATAGATAGATAGATAGATAGATAGATAGATAGATAGATAGATAGATAGATAGATAGATAGATAGATAGATACATAGATACATAGATACATAGATAGATAGATAGATAGATACATAGATAGATAGATAGATAAATAGATAGATAGATAAATAGATACGCATTACGAATATGTAATATTTTTTCTTTAAATAAGGGGCCATTAGAACTTCCCCCACCCCAACATAAAATGGTTTGAACAAAGAACAACAAAGAAACTAAGGCAAACTAAGAATGTCAGGTTTTCAGAAGTCAGGCAAACAGAGAAAATAAAGAAAAAGAGAAGATGATACGAAAGGCTTGAGGGATTTTAGGAGTAAATATTAAAAATAAACTGAGGATGAGTGAGGAACGGGTCCAGGAACGGAATAGCAGAAGAATGATGCCCATTGCCAGATAGAAACAATGGGCGTTTCTCAATTCACGAGAACGCGAGTACGTACTCGCGTTCTCGTGAAGTTCTTGGCGAGAACGCAGGAAGATCGGACTTGACGAGAACGCGAGCACGCAAGCACGTATGTGTATTGGAACAGAAGCGTACTCGTGACGTCATCACATGCAAGTTCTTTAGCATTTCTTTAACAGTCAAAACTATTTATTCCCCACACAAAACATTTTGAAAACAATATTTTTAATTTCTAAAGCTTAAAAAACATAAAAAAAAATTACTGAACCGCAAAAAACCGCCATCAGAACGAGCGGTAGTTCACACATAACTAGACCGAGAGAAGTGCACTACAGACGGGGTAACATTAGCCCTGGCTGCGGTTACCCTCGGAGGTCTGCTGGTCACTCTGGTCCGCTCAACGTCGGACTTTTTTTTAAAATTTCGCACTAACTCTGTAAACAGACCACACAGGGAGGCTTCAATGTATAATGTTATCGCCTCAAACGATTTCAAAACGTACTTTTGAAGAACAACAGCAGCAGAAAAGGGAATGTTTAACTTAACACTGTGAGCGCTGTCTGGAATCAAGCTGCGGCCGCGGGGCATTCTGGGGAAGCGGTCAGTCTCAAGAACGCACAAGTCTGCTCTGATGCATGCTCGATAAAGAGGGCGGGGTGAGAACAACATCCGGGGATTTGATGCGTTCTCGATCTGGCGTTCTCGAGAATTGGAACGGTACTCGGGCTGAGGCTGATGACGTGTCACGAGCACACGAGAACGCTCAAGAACGCATATTGAGAAACGCCCAATGCATTTATCAATGTGATTTTAAAGTATAGCATCTGCTAGCTAGTGTTAGGGGAAAAAAACAACGTTTCTTTTACAGAAATACCTAAGCTTAGTGTCAAAAGAGCAGAAATATGTAAGGGGGGGAGCAAAAAGACTGTGCTGACCGGGGCCCTAGCAAAGCTGTCAGTCCTAGAGTCGTCCCCATCTTCATCTGATTTCTGAGACTCTGCATGTACCTTTTTTCTTTTTTTGCCATGCATTTGCCTTTTTGTTAAGCAGCCATTTGTTTTAGAGACTCTCTGCTCCCAGGCGTCGGCTGGGCCTGCAACACCTTTAATTTAGCCCAGTGTGAATGAGGGTGTGGGCTGTGAACATTTTAGTCCCACTGACATTTTGACTTGTTATAAATTTACATTCAGCTTATCCAGAATCTATTGAGGGTCAAACTTCCAGAGCCTCATATGACCTTGCTGTTATTTTTGCAAACTTAAAGGTGTGACCTATCTATAAACACCCTTGTTTATAGATGTTGGAGATCGGCCTGTTTTCCAGTGTGGTCCTGTTTCTCTGACCGTGACTGAGTGGATGTGCTTTCTTTGTCCTCTGACATGGGAGCTGGCTCAGAGCTCGTCTGCCTGGCTGTGTGTTTCCTGGACGGGGCCGCCTTTTACAGCTGCTTTTTGTATCTCTGCTTCTGTCTCCTTGAACCCCAGTCGGCCTCAGCAGATGGCCGCTCACTCTGAACCTGGTTCTCCTGGAGGTTTCTTCCTGTTAAAAGGGAGTTTTTCCTCTCCACTGTCACTACAAGCATGCTTAGTGTGAGGGATTGCTGAAGAGTCAATGAGTCGATGCAATCAGCTGGTTTTCCTTAGATAGAAAACTTTGTATCAATTTGACTCTATGATCTGGTTGAACTGTAAAGTGCCTTGAGATGACGTGTGTTGTGAATTTGGCGCTATATAAATAAACTGAATTGAATTGATTGAAAATTTCCAGATTAATTTCATAATTTTGTAATAAATCATTCCTTTTGCCTAAAACACGTGTGTTAATTACCAAGTAATTAGGAGTAAGAATTTATTGAACGCACCACTAAAGCATTTTATATTGATATGATAGAGGCAGAAAAACAGGCCCTATTCCACTGTAGAGCAACACCCAAGGCAGCCTGACTTAATTAGCTACGTTGGTTTGTTTAGAAATGTTAAATAAATAAAGTTTTTTTTATAGTTTTACTGATTAACTGAAAAAAACAATCGATGGATTAATCAATTACTAAAACAATCAATAGCTGCACACCTTCTATAGAATATATTTATACATAGGAATGATTATCAGGAGGGTGCGGTGTTTGCTTAAAGTGGAACTGGTGCCGATCGGGTCACTGAGACAGACTGAGCTTCTTGTCTGTCAGCAGGGTGGCGTTTGGAAGCGAAACATGATCCTTTAATTCACTGTTTTTTAAACAGCCTCTTTAGATTTTGTCCATGATAGACGTCTGTGTTGCTTCCGCTCTGCATTGAAGGACAGTTCTGACTCTTCTGATCACAAATCCAGAGGAACTGAACTTTGGAAAATGAGCTGAAAATATTTCCAGATAACAAAGGATATTTCTGTACTATAAACTGTTTACAGTTTAAATACACTACTTCCTGTTGGTATGACAATACACAAAGGTAACTCAACTACCGTACTTCTCCGTTCATCTATGATTCTTGGTTTACAGATTACAGATTTTATTATTCCTGATGCAATTCCAACAATTATATCTGAAATATATTTTCTATGCATCGGCTTTCTTTTTGTATGGATCTCTCTGCATAAATTACAAGTTTTAAACATGCGTTGCTTAAGAAAGTAGCAGCTGAACATTTTCCAATTTTGTCAGATATTTTAGTCAGATTTTTTTACATAAAAACTTTGTATATAACATGAGATTTCTTACAAATCTCTGTCACTAAAATTGCAACCAGAAATTCTTTCCAGCATCCCAGAGAAAATGTTTTGAAGAACCATCTTTTTTTTTTTTTTTTTACAAACTCCTAAAAACGGTAACGCTTTCTGTTACAGTACATCAATAACCATGTAATAACATGGAAATAACATGGCTAGTTAAACTTTATTACTAGGTAAACAAAAAAAAACTTAATAGAGAATTTTGGTAAGTGCTTTTAAGCAGACAAGGTGAAGCCAGACTTCTTAGATTTTAAACAGTTATTAGCAGGTAACTCAGTTATTTCACCGACAGCCATAAATGAACGTGTTATTATCTTTTACACTCACTGGCCACTTTATTAGGTACCCCATGCTAGTAACGGGTTGGACCCCCTTTTGTCTTCAGAACTGCCTCAATTCTTGGTGGCATAGATTCAACAAGGTGCTGGAAGCATTCCTCAGGGAGTTTGGTCCATATTGACATGATGGCATCACACAGTTGCCGCAGATTTGTCGGCTGCACATCCATGATGCGAATCTCCCGTTCCACCACATCCCAAAGATGCTCTATTGGATTGAGATCTGGTGACTGTGGAGGCCATGTGATTACAGTGAACTCATTGTCATGTTCAAGAAACCAGTCTGAGATGATTCCAGCTTTATGACATGGCGCATTATCCTGCTGAAAGTAGCCATCAGAAGTTGGGTACATTGTGGTCATAAAGGGATGGACATGGTCAGCAACAATACTCAGGTAGGCTGTGGCGTTGCAACGATGCTCAATTGGTACCAAGGGGCCCAAAGAGTGCCAAGAAAATATTCCCCACACCATGACACCACCACCACCAGCCTGAACCGTTGATACAAGGCAGGATGGATCCATGCTTTCATGTTGTAGACGCCAAATTCTGACCCTACCATCCGAATGTCGCAGCAGAAATCGAGACTCATCAGACCAGGCAACATTTTTCCAATCTTCTATTGTCCAATTTCCATGAGCTTGTGCAAATTGTAGCCTCAGTTTCCTGTTCTTAGCTGAAAGGAGTGGCACCCGGTGTGGTCTTCTGCTGCTGTAGCCCATCTGCCTCAAAGTTCCACGTACTGTGCATTCAGAGATGCTCTTCTGCCCACCTTGGTTGTAACGGGTGGTTATTTGAGTCACTGTTGCCCTTCTATCAGCTCCAACCAGTCTGGCCATTCTCCTCTGACCTCTGGCATCAACAAGGCATTTCCGCCCACAGAACTGCCGCTCTCTGGATGTTTTTTCTTTTTCGGACCATTCTCTGTAAACCCTAGAGATGGTTGTGCATGAAAATCCCAGTAGATCAGCAGTTTCTGAAATACTCAGACCAGCCCTTCTGGCACCAACAATCCTGCCACGTTCAAAGTCACTCAAATCACCTTTCTTCCCCATACTGATGCTCGGTTTGAACTTCAGGAGATTGTCTTGACCATGTCTACATGCCTAAATGCCCTGAGTTGCCGCCATGTGATTAGCTGCTTAGAAATTAAGTGTTAACGAGCAGTTGGACAGGTGTACCTAATAAAGTGGCCGGTGAGTGTAAATGCAGTTTCTTACTTGTCATATAACACAAACCCAATCCTAGAGGAGAGCAAGCCAATCTTCTTAACTAAACTCCTATTTTCAGTTGAGTTCAGTTTTATAATGCTTTATTTACATAATAATAAGTTATAATTTACTGTAGTTTAGTTGTAATATGGTAGTAGGTTGTGGCCAATAATAGAAACTGTTATGTTGTACACTGAAAAAAAAAGCATTTTTTGGGGGGGTATTTGCTTAAGCATATTTGGTTACTTTAACACAATTGTTTTACGTCCTACTCTGCTAATATGGAACAATTGTGTTAAAGTAACTAAATAGGATTAAGTAAATGCCAAAAACGGTTGCAATCTTTTTTCAGTGTAACCTATTGGCAATTACCTACCAAATGTGTCCATTGTTACTTAGTAAAATAAAATTGTAATAATTACATGCAGGTAATTTCTTTGCAATTATGCATCTTTATTTTGGGTAATTTCCAAATAAAGTTTTTCTTGTTACCAAGTGATATAACATGACTTGCTGTGTTATTACCATATTATTACATGGTTACTGATGTACTGTAAAAGAAAGTGTTACCCTAAAAAATACAATATGGCCACGAATCTAGAAACTGTATATTCTTCCCTTGCAGAGTAGATCAAACGTAAGCAGATGCCGTCTCCAGCTTTTAACACTTGAATCATTTCCCTGCATGTAGTTCCAAACATCATCTCATCAAATCTGTCTAATTTTTCTTCTCCAGCTGAAAAGAAGCCCTCGGCACAATGCTGCCAACATTGTGCTTCATAGTGGGATTGGTTTGAGCAATGCTGCTCCCACCCCGAAAAGCATTTCACATGTGAGAAAACAGCTATATCTTGCTGTCATTAGATCAGAAAAGTGTTCATGTTTACTGAGTCGTCTACATTGGTTGCTAAGCTGCAAGTGGGACTTTCTGTCAACACAGTCTTCCATCTTTTTATAACTAATGAGCAGTCCTGCTTCCACCTGAGTTACCTGGATACCTTCCAGAATTGCTTCAATTAAAATGACATCTCACCAAAAATTAATTACTTAGTTTCAATGATCCCATTCAAAACATCCCAAAAATGGTTTAAGTCTTTGAAAGTTAAGCTTTCACAAAATGCTGCAGAAGATCAAAGGCAAAGGAGGATTAGATCATTTTAACTTATATCATTACTACCTAGCATATAGGCCAGGGGTCTGCAACCTTTCATATCCAAAGAGCCGTTTTGCCCAGAGTACTACCAAATAAAAGTTGTTTAGAGCCGCAAAATATACCATGACTTTTTCTAGAAAACCTTTTTTTTTAAATCTTGTATAGGAAATTAGTTGTTGCCATCTCAAACAATCAATTCATATATTTTTAATGTTAAAACGTATCATTTTCAAGCTAATTCATAGAAAAATGTCTCTTAAAACATATTTCTGGTTCTTTTAATCTCGTTTCTTTTCCATCTTATAAAAAAAGCTAAAGCTATTGATACCGGTATATATTATAGTAAATGATTTAGCTCTTTATATACATTTTAGCCGCTATTAAGAGCCGCTGGAGAGGGTCCAAAGAGCCATATGTGGCTCTGGAGCCGCAGGTTGCAGACCCCTGATATAGGCTAAAATACATCCCAAAATAAGTCACAACTGGTTGCAGAACAGACTCTATCAGCTACTATTTAGATTGCGGACCAACTATTTATTAGCTTAAACATAAAACAGCAGAATTGTTTGAAAAGCATAAACATCAGCTTCTCACTAACAGCTTGGTGGGAATCTCTTAAAGGGACAGTGTCCCACTTTTCCCTTGCCGCCACTCATCCAACTTTAGCAACCCTGATATCCTACAAAAAAAAGTTTGTAGGATATCAATATATATATATATATATATATATATATATATATATATATATATATATATATATATATATATATATATATATATATATATATATATATATATATAATTCTAGTGATAATAATAATTCTAAACCTAAACCCTTAGGATATAGAGGGTAGATGGTCAAAAATAGATGAGTCATTATCCCTCCCCATTGAAAAATGGGAAACTGATCCAACAGTTGATGCTTTGATCAAAACTGCTGACCTCAGATTTGTTACTATAGAGCTCTTAACTCCTTCTCTAATTATTTCCCCCTTTCTGCTCTTTCAGTTTTGTTAGATAGCAGCAATTATGGTACCGCAGCGTAAACTGTAATATGTTTAAAGCTGTGGATGCAGCAAAATGTATATAGAAGTTCAAAGTTGTGTGAATAGTTTTGCAACTGTAAAGACGGATGCGCACGTCATGGATGGCTAAAGTTTAGCATTAAAGCCGTGACGTGTTTCCCACGGTTTGCTCCATTGTGCAGGGAGGATATCCCAAAGACTTCCTCATGTGTGACCGGAGGTAAAGCAGCGCTGCTCTTCCTCACATGAACCTCATCACTCGCTTTTTTTCTTTTTCCTCTCTGCCAAACCAATAAAGGACTTTATTACAATCAGCAGAGCCTTTCTCTTTCTTGGCAGCATGGCCGCCGTACCTTGAGTCATGATGGTAGTCCCTGAGAAGTTCTCACTTGTTCCTCCAAGACCGTACGGCGGCTCCCTCCAAAGAGCATCCAGCTCAGCGGGAGAGATGTCTGCAAAACAGAAGAGCATCAGTAGGCGAACACATGGAGAAAATAAAAGGGGAGTCTCTCCTATTGACAATTTATATGACAGATAACCTAAAAATGCATCTTTAGGTAGTTTGAAATGGGAGGGATTACAGTAGGCAGCTTTTGGCTGCCTCCACTACTACAGTACATGTGTACAGTAAACATGAAGCCAACAGCCAGTAAAGAAAGGAAATAGATTAACCCTTTATAGGGCAAGTTAGTGCTTTTGGTCACCTGCAAAAAATGGAAATCTAAGTAAGTATTTTGTTTCTTAAAATAAGCGCATTTTTTCTCGAATTGAAGACAAAAGTGAAACACTTTGCCAATGGAACAAGACAATTTCCATTTAAAATAAGAAAAAACAATTGCATTGTCTTATTTCACGTCCATATTATCTTATTTTAAGTGTAAATATACTAATTTCATCGGCAAATCATTGTATTAACCTACTCAAATTAAGGGTAAATTCGCTTGATTTAAGAAATTGTTACTTATTTTTCTAGATCGTTTTTGCAGTGCCCCGTACAAATGGAGTCAGTGAGGTCTAGAAGCACTAGATCTATATCCAGACATTCAGCAAAGATGCTGCTACATGGCTGTATATCTTATTTTGGCATTTGACCAATTAGATGACCCCTTGAATGAAATATTACCTACTGTAAATTAAGTAAACAAGTCAAGAAAAACAGGTTAAAAGCTTAATGAAAAGTTTAAAATAAAGTTAAAAAGTTAATAAGCCTCGTTAAAAATTATATTTAGGTTTATAAACTAAAAAATAAAAGTTCCAGTATCAGCATTAATGCCTCTAAGGTTATGTTGTACCAAAAAAATGTGTTTCCTTCACTCTCAGAATAAATTTTAATTAATTTCTTATAGAAGCACTTATTATTATTTATTCTTATTTTTCTTAATATATTCTGTCAAGTCGGCGTTTCTTTTTTATTACATTGAAATTAATTTTTGGCATCACAATATCCATATTATTTTAATATAACAAAGGTAATAAGGTCTTGTCCTGGATTCCAATAACATTATTGGATTGAAATTTTGACCAATAAAGGCTTAAATAGAATTTGCTTCAAAGTTCAATGGCACGTTAATCTTTTATAGCTGCTGATATAAAGCAGCTAAAATTTCTTATGGTTAGAAACCATTAAAGATTTTAAGAATACTTTTTGCTCTTTATAATTAAGTTTTATAATAAAGGTTCATAATGAGACAGACTGGGTCTAAAGCGGGGCGTACGCTGTACAATTTCTTTCAATCGTTGCACGCAGCTACGGCTCACGCTGTACGTTAAAACTGCAGAGTTTAAAAGTTCTCAGCTCACGCACTGGAAAAAATCTGAATCTAGATGAGTCATTTTTACTTAAAATTAGTGTATTTGTTCTTGGATTGAGGAGGTAAAAGAGACATTTTGCCAATAGAACATGACAATCTACTCTTAAAATAAGAAAAAAACAATTACATTGTCTTATTTCAAGTGCATAGTATCTAATTATCTTATTTTAAGAGTAAAAATAGTAATTCCATTGGCAAACTATCTCATTTACATACTCAAATTAAGGCTATATACACCTAATTTAAGGAATGTTTACTTATCTCAGGATAGTTTTTCTAGTGCGATGTTTGTTCTCATGCTGTGCGGCCCAACGCTCTGATGCGATCTACCTGTTTACACTGTACGTCTAAAAACCAGGTGGGACTCATCTCCACAGTGAGATGGCGCTACTCGGACTCGTCTATCCGGAATCCAAACGATTAGAAGAGGAATATGAAGCTCACTAGAGTGAAACACACTGCCTTGGCAATTTATTCAGTTTTGTGCTGAAAGCCCTAAAAAGAAAAACGCATTTAGACAAAGACATGGCTGAGCAAATGTAGCTACTACGAACTGTCAGTTTTACAGAAATAACTCCATTTCACTCATTGCACCCCTGCCATGCTTTTGGGTTTTCATCTGAGAGGAAGAAGAAGAAGAATCCTTGTTTGCCCACTGAGCGCTTTGCCCACGACCACCTTAAGACGGCCGACTGAATTTAAAACGTGTTTAATTTTCTCCTGACCTTACGATTCCGCATCGGGAGGTGGTCGTTACCCCCTGTACACTACACCACGCAACATTGGGCTGAAAGTCTGTAGCCTTGTGAGACCATCCTGATCTCGCGAGCTATTAAGGTTTCACTCGCAGATCAGTCTGGAGACTCTCCCTTGAAGAAAATTTGGAGCAGTTCACCAAACGAACGTCCAATCAGCGTTGGCTTTGAGGCGGGTTGAGGTGTGACGCAACGAAAAGCGCGACAGTTCAGTCTAAAGAACATGCCGGCTTCGGCCGATGAAACTAGCGTTAGCGTGGCTATCGAGCAAGTTTTATCGGAATTACAGAGTATTTCTTCACTGAAAGAAGAGCAAAACACTGCTCTGGAGGCTTTTCTCACAGGAAAAGATGTTTTTGCTCTTCTCCCGACTGGTTTCGGCAAGAGTTTGATCTATCAATTGGCTCCTCTTCGTCGTCGCTCTGTTAGTACGTCATATGCTTCGTTGATCTGATTGGTTTATTTGGCCCGTCTATCACCAACATAGGCCCAATCAGCTAACCAGTATTTTCGCCCCTTCCCAAAATTACTCCAACGGAAGGTTTCCAGATGGATATGTGGAGCAAATCCATCTGGCGGAGTCAGGTTAAGGAGAATCGGCCTGAAAAGGGAAAAACAGGGTACAGCGTACCCCCAGCTTAACTCAAGGAGTTATGTAGATCTTCCAGAAGATTATCTTCTGCAGCTTCTGGCTGCACTGAACAGAAACCTATTTGGAAGATGTTCAAACAAACATTACAGCACTTCTTCAGAGGTTGCTTGATGAAAAAGGTTTTAAGGGTAAAGTGTTAAACATCACCGGAGGGGGGGTTCTGTTTCAGCTGCGGTTAGTTTGAGGGTTTGTCAGAGGGGTACAGAGCAAACAGGACCTGGTACACATAGACTGAATGAAAACACTTCAGCTCCTCAGACACTTTTATATCTCCAAACACAAACAAAAACTTCTTTCAGGATTATTTTATTAGACTGCTCTTCTTTAAACATGCTTGGTCAGTGCAAAAAAAAAGAAGGGGGGAAAACAATAGAACATTATCATCCAAATGCAAAGCATTCATAACAGGACAATGGGGTGCAAACACAATATGCAACATGACATTACGCCAAGAAGGACAACAGTCTATTATTCCTCCCATCAGAGCAGAGTTAGGACAGCCGCACGCCAAAGTTATGCTGGTAACAGCGCAGGATCACTCCATGCCGCCTCTTTTACCTTCTTGGCTAAGTGCGTTACCCATGTTGCACATTGATCTAAGTCCCTGCCTATCTGAGCGCGGCGGTCCGTCTCATGACAGCAGAGCACAGAGAGCGGGGCGGGGAACCGACCTGTGAAGGAGGAGAGGCAGACTTTGATGAGTGGTCGACAGCAGGGCGAGTTGAGGAAGGGTCTGCAGCAACAAGACGCCATCTCGCCCAAGAGCCGGCAGCTCCCAGAGATCAATGCCATCCCATCAGTTCCTCTCAGCCACTTTAATAACAACTCTCTCTCTCCCTGCTTCCTTTCCTAGTTCTGTATTCCCTTTCCTGTCCTGCTCACACTACCGGTAGGTGTGAGCAGGATCCGGCCCTACAGTCCTTCTCCTATATCTGTCCTGGGCCGCTCCTTTTGGGAATATTTCCTTCTCTTGCTGCCTGCATCTGCCCCCACCCACCAATCTCTCTCTCTCTCTCTCTCTCTCTCTGCAGTAGCTGCCCAGACAGTCAGTCGATCCACAAAGCACTCTTTGCAATTGGTATCAGTGTGTGCGTGAGGTTTTCCTTGTGAGTCGTGTTGTGTGAGAGTGAAAATATGCACTGAGAGTGTGCACACTGCACTGCTGACCCACTGTAAGGCCAAAGTGGAGGTGGGAGTCGCCTGGTGGCTCAGACTGGTCCTTGCATATTTAACACTGAGGATTATCATGGACGTTATGTCAGAAAACCAGAGTCCCGGTAACGTTTCCAGCTTTATGAGTGAAACTGGTGTGCAGATTGACTCCACACACGCTCTGCAAAAAAAATCTATCTCAGTAAATCATTTTTTTCTTAATATATAGTGATTTTTTTCTTGAATTACGGAGGTAAATGAGACACTTTGCCAAAGGAACAAGATAATCTACATTTAAAATAAGAAAAAAAACAATTACATTGTTCCATTTAAAGTGCATTTTATGTAATTATCTTATTTTATGAGTAAAAATACTTATTCACTTATTTACCTCCTCAAATTAAGGTTAAATACACTTAATTTAAGACATTAGATCATTTTTCGCAGTGCAGAGCGGTCAGTTTTCTTTGTTATTTTCCATGATTAGGATTTACAGATATTGACTGAATATTCTGGGTGGAATTGCATAAGGCTGATAAAATAAAGAATTTTATTAGAGAAATATGACCCTGGGTTCGATAGGAAGAAGGTACAGGCCTTTGCTGATGAGCAGCTTTAATGGCAGCCTGAAGCTCAGTAATTCTCCCATCAGCCTCTTAAAAAATATATTTCATAGATTCTCTACAGAGCTTGGCTTAGATGAGCTTGTTGATGAATCATTTAAGAGGATACCGGTACTCTTGGCATCGTGTGCATTTCCATAAAGCTCTTCAGTAAAAGAAGCTCTAACTGGCTCTAAAGTTTCCTGGTGAATAACTGCATTAACTCTGGACATGAGCAAACATGGTGGACATGCATGCCTTCCCAGATCACAACCAACTGGAAACTTTATATTTCATAAAAATATAATCTTTATTTTGTATCTGAAAGTCTGACTTTAGATAAATGAATAACAGTCCAGATGCTTCTGACTCTTTTGGTTTAAAGAGAGAAAGCAGCTCTTTTCTACAGATGGTTCATCTTTACAAAAATCTTCAGTGAGCTTTATTTTGAAATCTCAAAGACTGTTGGGGAAAAAATTGTTTAAAACCTGTTTTCCTTCCACTTAACTTTCCATTAATTTGCTCAGATGAAGCTTCCTATGGATGGTGAACATCTTCTGCTTGATTATTTTGATCTTACTTTCCTTATTGAGGCTTTGTGACTGTCTGTTGGACAACTTTACAGTCGCCATGACGATTTTGTAGGCCAAGAAAAAATTCTAAAAAATCCTTTTATATCCTCTTATTAGGCAATAAAAGAAAGATTTGAGGATTTCATTAGCATAAAAATCACTCTTAAATGATATTGGTCAGTGTTTAATTACACTAATCAATGCTTTATATGTTAGCTTAGAAAACATACCCTTAAAAAACCTTTTTAAGGGAATGATTTATTTAATTATAATTAGTAATCTGCATGACAAGAAAATGCACTGCCCTCTGAATTATTGGCCCATGTGAGGATGTGAGAAAACAAGAGCCAACGATGAAACAAAGGATCCTGTTATGATAAAAGTTCTTTTTAGTTGAATGTCTTCCATTAACAAACCATGCTGCCAATTGTGTGTGTGTATCTATATATATATATATATATATATATATATATATATATATATATATATATATATATATATATATATATATATATATATATATATAATATATATATATATATATATATAAATATATATATATATATATATTATTTTTTTTTTTTTTTTTTTGATTTGAATACCCTTAACTTCTTTTCACTGACTTACTGAAATACAAAATTAGTTTGGTAACTTCATTAAGATTTGAACTTCATAGCCAGGTGTTTCCAGAGATGGCAAAAGTACTCACTTTCCGTACTTGAGTAAAAGTACAGATACTTGTGTTAAAAAATACTCTGGTAAAAGTGGAAGTAATGATTAAACTTCTTTACTCAAGTAAAAGTAACAAAGTACAGGCTTGTGAATTTACTTAAAGTATAAAAGTAAAAGTAGAAACCACTTTTTTCATGCCGTTGCCTACATTTTAAATGGATGTCTGCCAATAGGACTAGATCTCCGTTGTGTTCATTTTCAATCATCTCGTCGTCCATGCTACTATGCTAACGCCACCGCCACCAGGCTGCAATGATTTGCCGCCAATGAATACCGTCAAATCTGTTGATTCATCTTGTAGTGGTGCGTCAAATGCAACGTAGATTCCCATCCAATTAGATTGAATTTGGTATTGATGACGTGAAAAATAATAACGGTAACTCCATTGAAATGATTCAAAACTAAAGTAACGAGCCAATTTTTTAAAATGTAAGGAGTAGAAAGTACAGATATTTGTGTAAAAATGTAAGGAGTAGAAGTAAAAAGTCGCCATAAAAATAAGTAATAAAGTAAAGTAAAAATATCAGAAAAATCTACTTGAGTACAGTAACGAAGTATTTGTACTTCATTACTTCCCATCTCTGGGTGTTTCCAATCATGAGAAAATGTATTTAAGGTGGCCCAGTTGCAAGTTGTTCTCCTGTTTGAATCTCCTCTAAAGATTCATCATGAGCGCCTCAAAACAACTCTCAGATTATGTGAAAACAGAGATTGTCCAACATGGTCATTCATGGGGAAGGATTCTAAAAGTTTTTTCAGAGATTTTAACTGTTAGTTTCCACTGTGAGGAATGTAGTAAGGAAATGGAAGACCGCAGGGAGAGTTGTCGTTAAGCCCAGAAGTGGCAGGCCAAGAAAAATAGAAGAATGGTGAGAATGGTCAAGGACAACCCACAGACCACCTCTAACCCACAGACCACCTCCAACCCACCAACCACCTCCAAAGACCTGCAGCATCATCTTGCTGCAGATGGTGTCACTGTACATCGTTCAACAATTCAGCGCACTTTCAGTTAATAGATATTTTTTATATGACTGTATATATATATATATATATATATATTTCTATTTTTCACTGTAAAATTCTTACTGTTGCGTTTTTAGTAGTATTGTGCCGATGCCTTTTTTTGGCTCCAACACCGATACTTGATACCTGGCTGTGCAGTATGAGCCGATACCGATGCCTTCTGTTTGAAATTTACTTGTGTGTGTTTATATGAAGAATTTTATACTTGGATGTAAAATAATCACCATCATGGCTTCATGTCAAGCTGCTGCCTACCTTTGTGAATCAGGAAACAGACGAATACAAACTGAATCCAGTAGAACTTTTTATTGCCTACCTGGAATGGGTGAAAATAGTTGAATAAACTTTAGGCTCTCAAAAAGGTATTGATTCCTATTTGTTGGTACTCGCCGACACCGATACAACCCTTTTAGTGCTGGATCGGGGGCCCGTCTGATACTGGTATCGGTGCAACACTAGTTTTATAGTAGACAATTTTTAGATCTGTCCAGGGACAACACATGAAAAATAGCCTTGTGGCTAATTCTTTTGCATTTGCAGGAATGTTCATTAATGTGCACTGCCCCTGTCAAATAAATAAACAAAGAATTACAAATTAAAAAGAATATATTTAAAAAATACATTTCTAGCCTTTTTAGAGAGCAGCAACCCTTCTGGTTTGCTTAAAGCTGCAAATACTAATAGTTTGGGTTGCAATAAGTTTTTCAATTATACTGTTGCATAAAACATAACATTGGAAATGTAAGGAGAATTATTGGCTCTAAACATAGTTGTTAGAATCATTGTATTAAGCTAATAAGATGGATACTCTGATGGTTTGTTAATACTTGATAAAATTAGGGGGGGAAAGTATTTTTAGTTTGTTATTACAAAATAAATAAAATGAAAAAAACTTTTGAGCTTCTTGGTTTGTATAAATTTAAATCTAAAAATGTTGGCAATATTGATCTGATATTGGAGCAAACAACATACCGCCTACACTTAAGCTGTAAAGATGTGTAAAAAGTCTTAAAATTCATTTTGATTGCAGACAATCATGATAAGTTCCTAGATGTGTGGGGTCCTTTTAATAGACCTATTCAAAATAATGGGTTAAAATTACCTCTTTTCTTTTTTTTATTCTTTTTTATTATTATTTATTATTATCTCAATACTGTCATCCTTTATTGCACTCTTCTTTTTATTGATATCCCATGTTTTATGTTGTTCGCTTGATACAATGTCTGCAGAATTATTTGTTGTCCTCTCTGACTCTGCCTCGTGCTTTAATATGCTCTATTAATATAATAATAATATAATTATTCTCTTATCAGTTCTTCAGTTTGCTGACACTGTTTTGTCTTGTTTTTTTTGTTTTTGTTGTACTTGTTTACTGTTTTGCTGTATTTTATTTTATTTTTTCTCTTTTTTGTCTTGTCCGTTTAACTCTGAAAATGCATAAAAAAAAAAAATTCATTTTGATTGCATTAACAAAATCTAAAACTAAAACCTTAATCTCAGAAACTTTTATAAACCAATAAAAAAAATTAAACAACACAACAACTTTACCTTTACCTTCTGATGGTTCCTATAAAACAAAGTTATCTGAAGCACTGTTTTAGGTTTATTAAAGTTAATAGAATCTCTTAATCATCAATCTGTTTCCAGAAGTTAAGATTAAAAGGAAGACGCTCCGTTTTTTTATGGAAAAGACACAATGGCACATTTTTACTCGATGTGAACATGTGCATGTAGTCTTGACACAAATTTTGGAGAATAATTAATTAACATGACAACAAATAAAGGAAAATAAATCATTAATCATAAATCACATCAGAGATGTGAAGATAAACATGTGATTCTCTCTTAGCAGCTGCAAAGATCTGAGTCTGGCAAAAAAGAGAGAAAACAGATTAGCTAAAGAGTGGAAATGCAGATACTCTGTCTGAAACGGTTTGAAAAACTAGATCATAGCCAAAGTCAAAATGTCCTTAACCTAAAAGTCAGCAAAAGTTGCTAAAACCGTCCAAACATTCACTCATTAAGACGTACAGATTGTCCTATTTTTCACTT